ATAATTACCCATTTACTTAGTTATAGATTGGATTTACAATTGTATCCTAATGCTGTGATTGAAATCTGTCATCCAGGAAGAAAGGCAGCGGCTATGTTGCTGACTTGGTATACCTCGAGAACAGGTAAACAACCTTAACCCAAGCTGTCCATATTTTATCAGTGTTATTAAAATCAGAACGGAATGAATTGGCTAGTATTATTTTTTGAGAATCGATCTTAAAGTTCAGTCCAAATACCATAAAAAATTGGAAAATTTGAGAATCGGTTTTGAACCGGTCATATTATTTTTTTCATTTCTAATTCATAGTTTTTTAATTATAATTTATATATTTTTATACTTAGTAAGTATTATGAAATGAAAAAAATGCAAGAAATCATGACTTATATGTGTGCATATTAAAGTTGTAAATAATAAATTATGAAATAATTATATTTTTTTAATGAAAATGATGTAATATTGATGGATATTATCTTTTTTTATTGTCTATTATTTTCTTGAGATTTAAATATTCATTTTTATTACTATATATGATTATTTCTTTTTATTTTAAATGTATAATATTTAAAATATATCAATTTATTAATGACAAACTACAGTATTGTTATTAAATCATGAACTAGTATTTTAATTAATTTAATCGTCAATCTAATTTTCATAATATTGCATTTTATGACTTGTCTCAAGCTTATTCAAGGCCTTCAAAATTTGGTAAACAATTGGAATTGTTAAAAAATATTTAACTTCTAATTTTACCATCCATTCTTTGTAATTAATGTCATAATAAATTATTGTCTAAAAATTCAAACAATAATAAATAAATAAGGGGTGAAGTTGGGAAAAAAACATTAATTGCTCTAACATTAACTCATATTAATTCAGTGCTTAAAAAAGCTTTCAAAATCCGCTCGATGCCAAGGATTGAAGTAAGCATATGATAAAGTTAATCAATTTCATAATTCTTAAGGAATGTTATTGGTTAATTTTCTTAACTTGTATAAAAATATTTGACTTTCCAATTTTGTCTCCATTAAAATTAATGACCACAATAATAAGGGAAAAATTTATATGCTTAACTTTAAATAATTAATATGTTTGTTTTTAATTAAATAAAGACATGTGAATCTTTTATAGATTATTTATTCTATTAAAAATTCTTGTTATTAACATTATTGACACCTTACAATTCATTTGTCTTGATTTAATTGAATATAAATATATTAAGTATATAAAACTAAGTATATAAGCCTTTCTCTAATAATAAAGTGTGTTTAGGAATTATAATTTGATGAAATTAAAGAATGATAATATTTTAAAAAAAAATTAACTATCATAATAAGGATAAGTGGGAGTCTATGTTAAAAAACAAGTTTCCTCTTATAAAACATAAGCATGTATTAGTGCATATTCATATTGAATTTGGTTTCATCTAATATGCAAATATATCTTGCAGCTATGAGGAGAGCTACATGATGGACGTGGCAGACGGCGAGCACGACGGGAAGTGCAAGTGTGGACCAAGCTGCTCTTGCGTGAATTGCACTTGCTCTGGTCACTAAGCCATTAATATATATCATAATCTGCCACCACAGATGTTATCACAGCTATATATATCATGTAGCCTTGCTTTTGAAAATAAGCTTGTGTTGGCTGTTATATATAGTACCTTGTTGGTGCCTATATATGTATATGTGCTAGGCACATCCCAATAATTGACTGTGTCTGTGGTTCCTGTGGTGGTGTTATGTATGTGTGCTTAATAATTTCCATGTTGTATTGTGTCTTTCTATGTTTTATTATTAATTAATGCACCGATATTATCATATATATCCCCAGCTTGTTCTTTCTCTTTGCACTTTTCTTCTTCTTTGTTACTTTGTTTCACTGAATCCTGCTGTTCACAATATACATACATATACCAAATCAATCATATATATATATATGATCCAAAAGCTGACAGCCCCATTTGGAACCTTTCAAAATCATGTCGATCTAATCTCTGTCTCTCTCTCAAGCTGCCCATTCTGTGTCAATCAACTTCCCATAAAAAAGTAGGATCAATTAACACAAAACCTAGACACATAACAAGAGATGAGACGAGGGATCAAATGATAATTATCTTGTAATAAAAAAGCTGTCTTTGAATTTCCTTATAACAATATAATATTCACATAGGAGCAATAAAATTAAAACATGCCAAATTACGTAAGAATGCTAGCTACTCTCAAATCAGAGAACAAAAGAATAACTTTATATCGGCACCAAGTGCTATTACTGTAACCAAGTGACACATTACGGAGCAAACTATACCTTCTTTAGAAAAAACCAAACAAATACAAAAAAGAAATATGTACATAACTATATATATATATATATATATATTGAAAAATTAATCTAAAAAAGCCAGAACATATACAAGCGATATTGCAGCCGAGGAGGGCCAGGCCTTCCATTGCTGAAAAGTGAAAATTCCTTGAGATGATAACATTAATAAAATAACTAGCCGAATTTAAAATATTTAAACATATAAAAAAAACTTATATGATCAAACTCAATTTTAACATCTTGATTTTTTAAGTTTATTCAAGCTAATGTGAATGTCTAAATTATCAAATATTATTTTTTAGTTAATTTTAATTTTTATCTTAAAAAATTAAAATTTTCAAGCAACATAACAGTACAAGACACCTTTTTCTCTATTCTTATTAAAATGAGATCAAGCATTAAAAGAATAAAAATGAAAGCATATGAAATAATCTTTTATGTTTATTTTTTAATATTCAAAACAAATAATTATTAGAATATTAAAACCTTATTCAAGAGTATGAAATGTGCAAACTGAAAGCCCAGGTAAAGGTTCGTAAATGTTGAGCAAAAGTTGTAGTGAATATTAATTTTATTTTATTACTAATAAAAAAATTCAGGTATTCAAGCTTGACTCATTCAAGTTCAGGCTTAATCCAAAATTTCTTAAAATTTATTCGAACGGTCTGAACAAGCTGAAGTAAAAAAAAAAAAAAAAAGGCTCTGAGATTCATAGCTCCTTCGTGCTTGCTCTCACATCTCAATATTCACTTTGTCCGACCCCTATCACGACTGGGGCAGAGCTGATGTGCGTGCGTGCGTGTTATATACTTAATCATATCCTTATGATGTGATTATAAATACAATATGTTATCCACAAAGAAAGGGAACGACTACGTTGATGACACATCATAATACAGACACTGAGAAAAGTTGAAAGTTAACCTTAGCTCTTTGTTATGGCTTCTCAGTTCTCAAGCACTGCAAAGAAGGTCTTCAAAATTTGGCGAACCTCGAGAGATATATAATAGAGCATAATTTTGAAACTGAGCTCATTCTTACACTTTTCAAACATGCACATGCAGTCATGCGTGCATGTTCATTTTCTATGGATGATAATTATGCAAGCTGAACTAATTAATTAAAACTTTATAAGTCATAAATTAAAACGATTAATGATGATATTAACGCCCACCGTGGGGCTCGAACCCACGACCACAAGATTAAGAGCCTTGCGCTCTACCGACTGAGCTAGACGGGCTTAGCTCGATCACTCTTTTGTACGTACATAAATAGATGTAAACGTACATGTGTTGAAGCCGTCCAACTGCAGACCAATTAAGCTGCTCTTGTGTGCACAGCATGTAGTCACTCTAAGCAATCAAGTAGCCACAGTACAGTCCTCGAATATCATTATAATAACTTTTATGTAGCCTTACTGATGAACTAGTAAGTCTTTGCTGTTACATATAGCACCAATAATTGACTGCGGTTAATCATATACCCCAAGCCAAGCTTGTTCTTGATCTGTACACTTCTTCCGGTTTGTTTCACTGAATCCAATTCACAGAATGTACAGAAGAAATCAGTTAGAAAAAGGCAAATAACCACACACACACACACACACACACATTGGCAAAAGAATTGTAATGTTGGAATGCTGATCCAAAAGGAGTAGGAGGAAAACGTTTTTATGGCTTTTTGAAAACAACAATCATATATAGGTCTCGTGCTGAATCTAAATGCGTGAATTGTGATGCAAGTTTCTGTGATTCATATTTAATGTAAGTAAAAAAAATATAGCATTTTATTAATTGCGATCTGTGTCTTTCAATTAATGTCTTAAGTACTGATCATAACAATTTATTTATTGGGAGAATTTCACCTAAAGACCACGGTACCTAGTTATTACAAATCGGAACCCAAAAATCCTGAAATTATACTTTGCATGATTTTGGGACCGGGGTGAAACAAAATGTTGAAGCAAAATAACTGAAGTATTCTTTTTGAATGATTTAGGAGAATTATTAATTTCACTCATAAAATTTCTAACATTACATGTTAATTCCTTTGTTTTACTTGTTAAATCCACAACATTATCTATGCATTATCTAATGTGTTAAATCCATCCATTATATGATTTGTTAAATTACTAACTTCATTTGGTAATCTCTTTACATTACTTGTTAAGTCCAAAATGTTACTTATATATTGTTTAGTTTGTATTAAATCCATCCATTATAACTTGTTAAATTATTAACTTTACTTGTAAAATTGTTAATATTACTTGTTAACTTATGTTACTTGTTAAGTCTACAATATTACTTGTGCATTATCTAACCTATCCTCTTTTAAATCCATCATCATGACTTGTTAAATTATTAACTTCACTTATAAAATTGCTAAAATTGCTGGTTAATCTCCTTGCATTATTACTTGTTAATGCTAAGTTCAAAACATTGAATCTAATTTGATCTTTTGCATTGAAAGTTTATTTCAATTGGACCTTAGAGCCTCCACTGTATTTTCAAATTTTTTGGTTTGATTAAAAAAAAAAACTTGTTATGGTTCTTAAAAGAAATTCTCCTTTATTTATTTTAGTTTAATTTTAGTTATTTGCTCATACAAAAGTTCCATTTTTACACGAAATCAATTTAAAAATATGGAAAAATGATAAATAAATCTTTCTAAAATAAAAAATAATAATAATTTAATCTTATAAAATGTGAAAATGATAGTAAAGCCCCTGATAAAACACCCACCTAACCTGGTTTTAACGTTCAGCAGAATGTTAAGAACAGAAGGCAACAAAGTAAGGCCCAAGGACGCTGGTTTAACTACAACAGAAAAGCTCAAACAGTCTCTCATAGAAGCTTTTGGTAAAATGGCTAGAGATGACGTGCCACCTTAAGGCAAGCCTGGTGATAAGAGAGGAGATGTGTTAGGTGCTCAAAATAAATAAAGGAAATAAAAAGAATAAATTTATTAAGATAATATAAAACAAACATCTCTTTTTATATTTTTTAATAATTATGTTTAAAAAAATCTTCAAAAAGTTTGAAAGACCGTTTTATTAAAGAGATAATATGCTAACTTCTAAGTTGCTAATCATATTTATAATGCTAAATACAATTTAAAATAATGAATAAAATACAAATAACTAAATAAAATCTCCTATAATCTAATTACCAATTACCAATGTTTTTAAAACCGGATCGCAAAATGAACTAAAAATGTTAGCGATTCACAATTTATATGGTCCAATCAAGTTAGACCAATAGTCAAATTGATGACATAATAATTAAATTTAAAAATTATATATGTATTTAATAATCTAAATAAAAAAATAAATATGAAATTGCTACTTAACTTAAAAATAAAATTAAATATTTTAAATTTATTATAATTTAAAAAGTTAATATGATCCAATATAACATCAAATAATTAAAAAATAGATCATTTTCTAAAAAATAAAGGAAAAAGAAAAAAGAACATTTTTTTAACAGTCTAGTTTTTGAAAAATGGACCTGATCCCTTGATTGATCTCGTTTTTCAATCCAACTGCTAATCCAAAGTGGTCCAATCCAACTCAACTCTCCAAATGATTTTTTCGGCTTGTCCTAACCGTTAGCCTGACTGGTTGACAGTCCAACCATCCGATTTGATTTGGTTTTTTAATCATTACTAAAAACTGAATAAAATCTAAAATAGATAAAATAGAAAGAATTAAATATCTAAATAAAATCTGAAAAAATATCTAAAAACTAACTAAAATACTGAATCAAATAAAATTAATTCTAGTTTATCTTCTGACACTTCCTTTTTAAATAAGTCTTTACGAAAATTCTATCTGAAATCTTATCAAGATGACTCCGATATGAAGTTCTAATAATATTCTCACACGTCTTCACTATCTCCTCCCAGTAACCTTCAAAGCAATATTTGCCTTCATGATAAATCTTGTCCACTTATTTTTCCTTCTCTTCTAAGATCAAGTGGACTAGTGGATGACAGACCCACGGAATGCAAAAGTCGGAGACAGCAATGCCAATTAAGGAGGGAAGAGCACGCTGCTGTAGATGAAGATGAAGAAAGGAAAAACTGTGTTGTTTTCGGGTGTAAGAGAGGAAAAACAATCAGCTTGCTTAAACCACATGACCTATCGGGTTGATCGTAATCCAGGTTTTTCTCGGGTCAACTACTCCCCCAAAAAAATAGTGAACTAGACAGGACACACTGCCGGTTCACTAATTTACCAGTCGGATAAACCAGTCTGGTTTTGCAAATCATGAGAAGAACATTCCCAACTTGTAAACATTACTAGCAATTTTCAAACGCTAATGGGCTCATAAATTGGGCTTTTATGGATCAAAATTCACTTGGCACTGAGGTGGCACTTTCGCAAGGCTGGATAGAGCTTTCGCAAACAACCAATGGATTGACGTGTTTCCCAATGCAATAGCTAATCAGCTAGCCGCTTCTCCTTTATCTGGGCTCTCTTACGGGCCTAATGATCAAAAGTAAGGCTATTCAAGCAGCCGGATTGCCCCATGTAATACCACCTTTATTACCCCAACACATAACCAAAACGACCATGGTAATTAATAAATAATCCCTAAAAATTCTAACACCATAAAGTGGGAAAAGTAATACCAGAACCTTGATTCATCTTCCCTACTAAGCCTAACTAGTCTCAGTAGTGATTTATGAAAGTTTTATGAAAGTCTAACTTCTTGTCCCAAAACCCCCTTAACATAGTGCTCAACAGGGCGCAAACAACCCCGAACGTTCTTTTAGGCCAATTATGTAAACGTAACACCTCAATTATCTTTACCCATCCTATCTAACCTAAGCTAATTACCAATTAGCCTCTCTAAGTCTCGACAAAAATGAAACTCCAATTTGCTTACTGTTTTAGGAAACCTAACATCACAACTTACTTATCTAGGTTCAACTAGAGTTTAATTAGCGCTAGTTACAATTCCCAGAGTTTAATTACATATTAGAGATTTTGCACTATTTTTAGAATTGATAGGCAAAATTGCGCCATAATATATTACTTTTTGGATACTTTTGCCACCAACCTATTTACACATGGCAGAGCAAGTAAGACCAACAACAATTATTACTTAACAGATGATTGGCCTTCGTTATGAAAGAGGGATTTCTAGCACCTTTTTTAACGATTCATGGGTAAAATCACACCATAATTGAGTTAAGAATGTCAGCAGCTCCTCAAAGAAAGATTTGCATACATTTGCACTTTAACCAAAGTCTTATCCACCATGATAGATTCTTTTCTATCACAGGATCCATTCTATTATATTAGAAGTTACAAGTTTATTTTTATAACCTCAAGCCAATGACGCACACAAACAAGACGACAAGGTCCATTGATAATATTTTAAAATAATAACAAAAGTATGTGTAGAGCTCTATTTAGCACAAGCAATTTAAGAATTGCTAAGGACCACCAGATAATATTGACAATTCCTTAAGTTGAAATGATTAGTTCATTGCCTGCATGAATCGTCATTTCCTTAACTATAAGAACCCTAGCCCAATAACTTTGATAGACCTCGCAACAAAAAAGGTCTTATTTCTCTTTGCATTTGATAGCTAACACTAATTTACGTCTACCTCTCACAAGATTTGAATCACTCAAACACCAAGAATAACATTAACACATAAGAAAGGACGAGATCTGAAACACCACTAATAGCATAGGCAATTTAACATGAAAAACTGAAAACTAAAGTGACAAGATGGTGATGAGCAGATGAACTTGCCCCCGTCCAAAACTAAAGCATCCATCAGGTGTCGTCCTATCGATTTATTTTTTCTATCATTTCTTAAAATAAACCCCACCCAAAAGTAAGTCCTACACACTGACAATGAAACCGAGTTCTTTGATTTTGCGATGAACGAAATTACATCAAAAAATGGGATTATACTCACCAAAGCTGGTGTCAACACCCCCAGCAAAACAGAGTCTCTGAACAAAAAAATAGGCAACTCATCAATGTAGCTATTTCTTATTGGATCTCATGCACCTAAAACCTTCTTGGGGGAAGCAGTTTTCACACCCACTTATCTCTTTAATGTAATGTTCTCCGTTTGTTTTTTTTTTTTTTTAGGGGGAAATAGCGGTGGGTCAATGGCTAGTGCTTAAGCGTTATGCCCCCTGCTTTTCTTTGAGCTGACCAGAAGAGAAAAATTAGAAGGAAAAAGGATAAGGTTCGGTTTGATGAAATATAAATGTGACAATGGTTTGCGGTTCATTAATTAATGTTCTCCATTTGTTTTTTTTTTAAAATAGCATTTTATACTAAAAATTACCCTAAATTCCTAGAACATATATTTTTTATAACCAAAACTTGACTCGTTATTAATTTTGAAGTCTTTAAATTTATTCAAAACTCAAAAATCTTTTTACATAAAAAACTTGGCAAAAATGCATATAACCCTCTTAAACTTTAATTTAGTTGCATATAACTTCCCTTAACTTTAAAATGGACACCCCAAACTTTTAAATTGTGATCATCAGCCCCTAACCATTAAAATGGCTGTGGAAGTCAACAAAAAATGCCATCTCAAACTAGCGAAGAAGAACACACAGGCAAATGACATGAAATTTTGAGCATTTAATTATTTTTACCCTACCTTTTTCACTGGAGGGGGATTTTGTTGTATGTGTTAGTTTCCTAGTCCTCTTTTCTTGTTCCATCTTCTTGACACTATCTTCAACTTTTTGCGTTGGAGCTTGTTCTCCTCTTTACTTCATCTTTACTTAAAAAACATGCTTAGCTTTGTGCGTTGGGAATTATCTTACTCCTCTCTACTTTGACTACGTGCATGTTCTTCTATACTTTGATGACATCTTCGGTTCTCTGAGTTGGGGGGCTTTTTATCATCTTCATCCTGCTAACAGTATACATTTCAACAATAGAAAGCAAATACCTTGATTAAGGACTTTGTAGCAAACTAACATCCAAAGAAAGAATTAATATTAAATTTAAAATTAAATTGTATAAATAAATTACCCAGTTAAGTCTCTCACATGGTGTCATCTACTCTGGATTTTCCTACTTCCTAGCCACTGTTTTTTCTTTTTTGCCAGAATTTTTTCAGCCTCCCTTTGAAAGAAAATTTGTGTGTTTAATTTCACTTGCATTTACCTCTCTGAAAAAGATAGATAAACTCCACTTATATGTTTGTTTGCACAAAAACAAAAATTTTAGCTCGCACAAAAAAGAGGCTTGAGTTCAATCTAAGTATAAAAAAGAAATTTCACAAGCAAAAAAAACAAAAAAACCTTGCCAGATTTGAAGGAAGAATATGACGGAGATGAGATGCGTAGGGACTAGGGATAGATTTTTGAATGTAGGTGATGATCAAAAGCTGAATCATGCAATGCACATGGACTAGGGATATATTTTGCATATAAAAAATAATGAACAAGTTAACAATCATTAGCTCAGAATTAACAGGCATTACACGTCAAAAAAAAAAAAAGCAAAACCCCTCAACAACAGCTTGTACACAATCTCCAACACAAGATTCATGATCAGATTATCAAACCCATCAATGTAAAGCCAAAAACAGTATTCACAACGAAAGCCAAATTTAGAGCAAGACCACAAAAATTAAAACAAAAGGAAAAGAATGAGATACTAACACGACTCCATATGAAGTGTTTTCGCCTGAGCCAATTCTTACATCACCAACAGGTGTTGAAAATGAAGACAGAAAATGGGGATATCTGCCATAGTTTGGAAATTTTGTATTCTATGAAAAATTTCAAAAAATCTTGAATGACACGAAAGAGTAGATAGGGATGAAGAAGTCAAAGGAAAAATGTGTCATACAAATTCTTTAAAAACAAAAATATTTGAAAAAAATAGTAGATATAATCAAGAAATGAAGACAATTACACGAATCAGATATAAATATTATTATAAAAATTTTAACAATATTAAATAATAGGGAGGAGAAGATAATGCATCAAGAAAGTTATTATGAAAGTTTTTAACTTCCAAGAATTGTGATGGTCCACCTAATAATCTAAGAAAATTCAATTCAGTAGAAATAATGTTTATCATTTACTCAAATGGTCATATCCTAACATTATAAGAACCTTCACCCTCACCCTTCCAAATACTTCATGAAAACCTCAACGGACATCATTTTAATAGATAAGGCGAGATCTCCATTCAAAACACTTGAGTTCAATTTTAGCTTGACAATTTGAATGAAGTTAATAGAAAGTTTAAATTAACCTCTCCACAGCAATAAAATCATTCAATACCAGGAATAACACTAACAAGTGAGGAAAAGGCCTAAATCAACATAAAACCTATGGATAACATGCCAAGAAATTTTCACAAGTTGCTAAAACTGATTCAAATTTACTACATTAAAAACATGAATAACTCGATGTAAAAAATGACGCAAAGAAGTAAGGATGTCTAAGACTCCATTTAAATTAAAACTATAGGAAATTTACCGTGTAAATTTGACCAGGTGAGATGACCGTTATCATTGAAACTTAACCGCTCAATCTTAAACTATAGCATCCTGCAAGGTTGTGATCCATTGCATAAATAGGAGAGGACAATGTCTCTTGACAGTATTGGAAATGACAATCAAATAACACATAAAGATCAATAATGCATAAGCAATCTAACAATTGCTATGGACCACCTAATAATCTATGAGAATTCACTTGGGTAAGAATAAACACTTCTCCAACCACTCGAATGTTCAATTCCTTAGGTTTTATATGGAGTTGATAGCAACTTACATTCACCTATTCACAAGAATTAAATCACTCAATAAAAAATATCATGAGAGGACAAGGCCTAAATCTCCACAACTATAAAAAATATGCAATGAAATTTTCATAACCTCGATTCAGATTCACTCCACACAAAACATGAATCAATAAATGTAAATAACAATGTAAAAGAGTAAGGACGAGGTCTAAGACTCCACTAAAACAACAGGAAATGTACAACATAAACAACGACGACAAGATGAAAGGACAAGGTCTGACCTCCACAAAAACTATATAAAATTTTACCATGTAAATTTAATCAAATGAGAAGACCGTGAGCATTGAAGGTGAAATTACACAATCTTAAAGTAAAGCAACATCAAAGAAGTAATGCACTATCTAGATAGGAGGGGATGATGTCTCTTGAAAATTTAAGCAATGACAATTAAGGATTGCACAAATCTTGATAATGCATAAGCAATTCAAAAACTGCTATGGATAGGAGGGGATGATATCTCTTAGCAATCTTAGAAACAACAATTAAGGATCGCACAGACCTCGATAGTGCATTAGCAATCAACGAACCGTTATGGACCACCCAATAATCTGTGAGAACTCCCTTGAGTAGGAATGATAAGTTCATAAACTACTTGAATGTCCATTTCCTCACCTCATAAGAATCACCCTCACCCTTCCAAAGGCTTCAATGAAAACCTAACAAGTGACATTATCATAGATTAGGCAGCATCTTCCTTAATGAGACATAAGGCATAGATTTTGATTTTAAATTTATAAAAATTTCAGAACTTGCCAACACAAAATGACATTTACTCCATTTAAAACATAAACCATACAATAAACACAAGAGCAAAAAGATGCAAGAAAAAGGTCTAATACTCCTCAAAAACTACATAAAAATTTTCCATTTGAATTTGATTAGATGAGAAGACTCTGAGGATTGAAAGTCAAACCACCTAACCTTGAAGTAATGCATCATGAAGGTAGTGTTGCATTGACAAGATAGGACAATGGATATCTTTTGACAGGTTTGGAAATGACAATTGGGGATCGCACAGACCTCGATAGTGCATAAGCAATACAAGAACTGAGATGGACCACCCGATAATCTATGAGAAGTCTAATGAGTAGGAATGATAAGTTCATAAGCTACTCAAATGTCCATTTCCTCACATCATAAGAATCACCCTCACCCTTCCAAAGACTTCACCAAAATCTTAAATGGTGACATTATCATAGATTAGGCAGGATCTCCCTTCATGACACACAAGGTGTAAATTTTGGCTTATAATTTATAAAAATTACAAAACTTGCTAACACTAAATCACATTAACTCCGCTCAAAGCATGAATCAGACAACGAACACAATAACAAAAAGATTTAAGACTCCACAAAAAGTATATAAATATTTGCCATGTAAATTTGATCAAAATAGAAGACTGTGAGCATTGAAGGTGAAACTACCCAATCTTAAATTAATGCATGGTCAAGGAAGGGATGCTTAGCCTAGAAAAGAGGGGACGACATCTTTTGACAATTTCGGAAATGACAATTGAGGATCGTATAGATCTCGATAGTGCATTAGCAATCTAAGAACTTCTATGAACCACCCAAAAATTTGTGAGAATTCCCATGAGTAGGAATGATAAGTTCATAAACTACTCAAATGTTCATTTCCATCATAAAAATAAACTATCAAAGACTTCACCAAAACCTTAACAAGTGACATTATCATAGATGAGGCAAGATATCCCTTCATGATACATAAGGTCAAGATTTTGCTTTGCAATTTATAAAAATTTCCAAACTTGCTAACACAAAATCAAGTTCACTGCACTCAAAAAATGAATTAGACAATGAACACAACAAAAAAAAGATGCAAGAATAAGGTTTAAGAATCAACAAAAATTTATAAAAATGTGCCATGTAAATTTGATTAGAAGATAAGACTATGAGCATCAAAGGTCAAACTACCCAATCATGAATTAACGCAATGTCAAGTTAGTGATGCATTGCCTGGATAGGAGGGGACGATATCTCTGGACAATTTTGGAAATGACAATTAAGGATCATACAAACCTCGATAGTGTATAAGCAGTCCGAGAACTGCTATGGACTACCTGATAATCTGTGAGGATTCTCTTGAGTAGGAATGGTAAGTTCATAAACTACTCGAATGTTTATTTCCTCACGTCATAAGAATTACCCTCACCCTTCTAAAGACTTCACTAAAAACTTAACAAGTAACATTATCATAGATTAGGCAGGATCTCCCTTCATGAGACATAAGGTATAGATTTTGAATTTTAATTTATAAGAATTTCAAAACTTGCTAATGCAAAATGACATTTACTCCACAGTCCAAATAAAACATAAATCATACAATGAACACAACAGCAAAAAGATGCAAGAGAAAGGTCTAATACTCCTCTAAAACTATATAAAAATTTTCCATTTAAATTTGATCAGATGAGAAGATTTTGACATTAAAAGTCAAATTACCCAATTTTGAAGTAATGCATCGTCAAGGAAGTGCACAGTCAAGATAGGAGGGGCCAATATCTCTTGATAGTTTTGGAAATGACAATTAAAGATTGCATACACCTCGATAGTATATAAGCAATCTAGAACTACCATGGACCACCTGATAATCTATTAGAATTCCCTTGAGTAGGAATGATAAGTTCATGAACTACTCAAATGTTCATTTCCTCACATCAAAAGAATAATCACCCTACCCTCACCCTTCCAAACACTTCATCAAAACCGTAACAGGTGACATTATCATAGATTAGGCGGGGTCTTCCTTCATGCCACAAAAGGTCTAATTTTGCTTTATAATTTATAAAAATTTCAGAACTTGCTAGCACAAAATTACATGCACTCCGCTCAAAGCATGAATCAGACAATGAACACAGCAACAAAAAGATGCAAGAAAAAGTTCTAAGACCCCATAAAAACTATATAAAAATGTGCCATGTAAATTTGATCAGAAGAGAAAAGTGGGAGCAGTGAAGGTGAAACTACCCAATCTTAAATTAATGTATTGTCAAGGTAGTGATGCATAGCCTAGATAGGAGGGAACAATATCTCTTGACAGTTTTGGAAATGACAATCAATGATTGCATAGACCTTAATAGTGCATAAACAATCCAAGAATTGCTATGGACCACCTAATAATTTGTGAGAATTCCCTTGAGTAGGAATGATAAGTTCATAAGCTTTTCAAATGTTCATTCCCTCACATCATAAGAATCACCCTCTCCCTAATCACCCTCACATCATAAAACCTTAATCAATGACAATTTCGTAGATTAAGTGGGATCTCCCTTCATGCCACTTAAGGTCCATATTTTGCCCTATAAAAATTTCAAAACTCGCAACCACCAGTTCATGTTCACTCCGCTCAAAACTTAAATCACACAATGTAAATAGCAATGAAAAGATGCAATATCAAGTTCTAAGACACCACTAAAACTTTGCTGGGTAAGTTAGAAACAACATGCATCGTACCAAAAAGCATACATGTTGACAAAGCTTGTCCATGTAAAGTTTATCAAATAAACTAAAGAGTTATTGGAGATGGCAGCAACCACCTAGGGAATTAAGGAAGAGGAATTTCTTGAGATTAGATAATGCTTTTATTTTAGTTCAGCAATGTAGATAAGATTTCAAAAGAAATTAAATGACACCAAATATAAACACAAGTTATGTTCCAATAAAAAAAAAATGTTCCAATGAGAAACAAGTCAAATAACATATAGGTGAAGGGAAAACCTGTATGACCAATCTAAAATGACGTTCACTGTCATAAAAGGTGGCCAACCAGACGAACTAGGGGAGAATTGTTCTTGGCCGACCTGCAAGGTTGGGCAAATGCATCAAGAGAACATCAATATTTTCAACTTTTACATGACAGCATGGGAATCGTGAAAAGAGCATGCTAACATTTCTACTTTGTATGTTAAGGTAAAAAAGGTACAATTTCAGGGCTAAAAAAGAAAAAAAGAAAAGCTATACTGCAGTTGAATCACCAATACAAACTCCAAGGAAAATAGCTTTAATTGGCTTCTCCTTCAGCGAATGATGTCAAGCTGCAAATTAAGCTACCAACATTAATTTTTTGCTGCATGCCTTGGCAGAAAAATAGGTCAGGTTAAAATTAGACAAGAACTATATAAAGAAGGGAGAGATAAATAACCTGTCCCATAAAAGTAAACTATGACTTTATAATGCTCCACTCACATGGCAGCATAGGTAAATGAGTTGATTTCTAGGAAAGCACAAGGAGTCTCTTTTTATTGTTCCAATTGGAAAATCTCTTAGACACCCATGGGCACCATTTCGCCCCTTTTTATGCAAGAAATAACCAACCCTGAGCAGGTGCAACAAGACCTAAAAATCAAAGTTCACTGTTGCTGTCATTGAGTTCAAAGACAGAAGCTGAAGGTAACCTCCTCAATACTGCAGGAAGAAATATATTTAGTACGCATTAATATCAACAAATGAAGATTATGCATTCTTCTATATCGTTATCATTACTTTTTTTTTTCTCCTGCTCCGTTTTTTCCCGATAAAACAAGGTCAACAAGTTGCAAGAAGATTGATGGTCATTAAAGTTCATAAATTAAATTTTATTTTAACACACAATTTTCACTAATAATTGGACAGTGGCATGACTCAGCGGCAACAGAACCAGCAAAAGGCGTCCTCCTTTCTACAACCGCCCAATGAGAAATAACGCTCTTTGGAAAGGAATATTTGTAGTCATTTCTAATAGATCTTTAACGAATAATGCTCCTTGGAACAGAAAATTTGCAGTCATTTCTAATAGATATTGTTAAAACAATATCCAATTAAAATAAACTAGAAGTATTCCCATGTTTTGCACAGAAATATTCCAGAAAATTCAGAAAACCATACCTAAAAGTGATTAAAAAATTTTGTTTGTATTTAAACTTAAAATAAGATATTAAATATGCAATCAATAGCAAAAGAAACAAACAAAAAAGTCAAAAATTATTTTTATACAATAAACTTAAGCTTAAAATAGACATATAAATTTTTAATGAAAAGTTAAAATGGAAGATTTGGATGGCAACCGTAATGTAAACAAAATAAAATTGAGTTAGTATAATGAAAAATGTAAGCAATATTAAAATTAAAAACCAATTAATATTTATAAAGAGAAAACAAAGCCCATTTATTTTGAAAGCAAAAGTTCGTACAAGAAATATGAAATCAAGTATATAAAGACTAATATAATTTATACAAATTTCAGAACTTGCTAACACAAGATCACATTCACCACGCTCAAAGCACAAATCAGACAATGAAAACAAAAAATGAAAGAAAAGGGGCTAGGACTATAAAAAGAGAGTAAAAATGTGCCATGTAAATTTGACTAGAAGAGAAGACTTTGACCATTGAAGGTCAGACTACCCAATCATGAATTAACACATCATCAAGTTAGCAATGGATTGCCTAGATAGGAGGGCACAATATCTTTGGATAGTTTTGGAAATGACTGTTAAGGATCGCACAGACCTCGACAGTGCATAAGCAATCAAAGAACTGCTATGGACCACCCGATAATCTATGAGGATTCCGATGAGTAGGAATGATAAGTTCACACACTACTTGAATGTTCATTTCCTCATGTCGTAAGAATCACCCACACCCTTCCAAAGGCTTCACCACAATCTTAACACGCGACATTATGATAGCTTAGGTAGGATCCCCCTTCTTGACACATAAGCTCTATAGTTTGCTTTACAATTTATAAAAATTCAGGGCTCGCTACCACAAAATCATGTCCACTCAACTCACAAACGGAATCAAACAACGAACACAACAAAAATTATGCAATAAAAAGGTCTGTGACTCAACTAAAACTATGCCATGTAAATTTGATCACAAGAAAATACTGCGAGCAATGAAGGTCAAGCTACCCGATCACGAATTAGCGCAACGTCAAGTTAGTGATGCGTTGCCTGGATAGGAGGGGACGATATCTCTGGACAGTTTTGGAAATGACTGTTAAGGATCGCACAGACCTCGAGAGTGCATAAGCAATCCAAGAACTGCTATAGACCACCCGATAACCTGTGTGGATTCCCTTGAGTAGGAATGATAAGTTCATGTGCCCCTCGAATGTTCATTTCCTCATGTCGTAAGAATCACCCACACCCTTCCAAAGGCTTCACCACAATCTTAACACACGACATTGTGATAGCTTAGGCAGGATCCCCCTTCTTGCCACATAAGCTCTATAGTTTGCTTTACAATTTATAAAAAATTCAGGGCTCGCTATCACAAAATCATGTCCACTCCGCTCACAAGCAGAATCAAACAACGAACACAACAAAAATTATGCAATAAAAAGGTCTGTGACTCAACTAAAACTATGCCATGTAAATTTGATCACAAGAAAATACTGCGAGCAATGAAGGTCAAGCTACCCGATCACGAATTAGCGCAACGTCAAGTTAGTGATGCGTTGCCTGGATAGGAGGGGACGATATCTCTGGACAGTTTTGGAAATGACTGTTAAGGATCGCACAGACCTCGAGAGTGCATAAGCAATCCAAGAACTGCTATGGACCGCCCGATAGTCTGTGAGCATTCCTTTGAGTAGGAATGACAAGTTCATGTGCCACTCGAATGTTCATTTCCTCATGTCGTAAGAATCACCCACACCCTTCCAAAGGCTTCACCACAATCTTAACAAGCGACATTATGATGGATTAGGCAGGATCTCCCTCCTTGACACATAGGGTCTATAGTTTGCTTTACAATTTACAAAAAATTCAGGGCTCGCTACCACAAAATCATGTCCACTCCGCTCACAAACGGAATCAAACAACGAACACAACAAAAATTATGCAAGAAAAAGGTCTGTGACTCAACTAAAACTATGCCATGTAAATTTGATCACAAGAAAATACTGCGAGCAATGAAGGTCAAGCTACCCGATCACGAATTAGCGCAACGTCAAGTTAGTGATGCGTTGCCTGGATAGGAGGGGACGATATCTCTGGACAGTTTTGGAAATGACTGTTAAGGATCGCACAGACCTCGAGAGTGCATAAGCAATCCAAGAACTGCTATGGACCGCCCGATAGTCTGTGAGCATTCCTTTGAGTAGGAATGACAAGTTCATGTGCCACTCGAATGTTCATTTCCTCATGTCGTAAGAATCACCCACACCCTTCCAAAGGCTTCACCACAATCTTAACAAGCGACATTATGATGGATTAGGCAGGATCTCCCTCCTTGACACATAGGGTCTATAGTTTGCTTTACAATTTACAAAAAATTCAGGGCTCGCTACCACAAAATCATGTCCACTCCGCTCACAAACGGAATCAAACAACGAACACAACAAAAATTATGCAAGAAAAAGGTCTGTGACTCAACTAAAACTATGCCATGTAAATTTGATCACAAGAAAATACTGCGAGCAATGAAGGTCAAGCTACCCGATCACGAATTAGCGCAACGTCAAGTTAGTGATGCGTTGCCTGGATAGGAGGGGACGATATCTCTGGACAGTTTTGGAAATGACTGTTAAGGATCGCACAGACCTCGAGAGTGCATAAGCAATCCAAGAACTGCTATGGACCGCCCGATAGTCTGTGAGCATTCCTTTGAGTAGGAATGACAAGTTCATGTGCCACTCGAATGTTCATTTCCTCATGTCGTAAGAATCACCCACACCCTTCCAAAGGCTTCACCACAATCTTAACAAGCGACATTATGATGGATTAGGCAGGATCTCCCTCCTTGACACATAAGGTCTATAGTTTGCTTTACAATTTACAAAAAATTCAGGGCTCGCTACCACAAAATCATGTCCACTCCGCTCACAAACGGAATCAAACAACGAACACAACAAAAATTATGCAAGAAAAAGGTCTGTGACTCAACTAAAACTATGCCATGTAAATTTGATCACAAGAAAATACTGCGAGCAATGAAGGTCAAGCTACCCGATCACGAATTAGCGCAACGTCAAGTTAGTGATGCATTGCCTGGATAGGAGGGGACGATATCTCTGGACAGTTTTGGAAATGACTGTTAAGGATCGCACAGACCTCGAGAGTGCATAAGCAATCCAAGAACTGCTATAGACCACCCGATAACCTGTGTGGATTCCCTTGAGTAGGAATGACAAGTTCATGTGCCACTCGAATGTTCATTTCCTCATGTCGTAAGAATCACCCACACCCTTCCAAAGGCTTCACCACAATCTTAACATGCGACATTATGATGGATTAGGCAGGATCTCCCTCCTTGACACATAGGGTCTATAGTTTGCTTTACAATTTACAAAAAATTCAGGGCTCGCTACCACAAAATCATGTCCACTCCGCTCACAAACGGAATCAAACAACGAACACAACAAAAATTATGCAAGAAAAAGGTCTGTGACTCAACTAAAACTATGCCATGTAAATTTGATCACAAGAAAATACTGCGAGCAATGAAGGTCAAGCTACCCGATCACGAATTAGCGCAACGTCAAGTTAGTGATGCATTGCCTGGATAGGAGGGGACGATATCTCTGGACAGTTTTGGAAATGACTGTTAAGGATCGCACAGACCTCGAGAGTGCATAAGCAATCCAAGAACTGCTATAGACCACCCGATAACCTGTGTGGATTCCCTTGAGTAGGAATGACAAGTTCATGTGCCACTCGAATGTTCATTTCCTCATGTCGTAAGAATCACCCACACCCTTCCAAAGGCTTCACCACAATCTTAACATGCGACAATATGATGGATTAGGCAGGATCTCCCTCCTTGACACATAGGGTCTATAGTTTGCTTTACAATTTACAAAAAATTCAGGGCTCGCTAACACAAAATCACATCCACTCCGCTCACTAACTCAATCAAACAACGAACACAACAAAAATTATGCAAGAAAAAGGTCTGTGACTCAACTAAAACTATGCCATGTAAATTTGATCACAAGAAAATAGTGCGAGCAATGAAGATCAAGCTACCCGATCATGAATTAGCGCAACGTCAAGTTAGTGATGCATAGCCTGGATAGGAGGGGACGATATCTCTGGATAGTTTTGGAAATGACTGTTAAGGATGGCACAAACCTCGAGAGTGCATAAGCAATCCAAGAACTGCTATGGACCGCCCGATAGTCTGTGAGCATTCCCTTGAGTAGGAATGACAAGTTCATGTGCCACTCAAATGTTCATTTCCTCATGTCATAAGAATCACCCACACCCTTCCAAAGGCTTCACCACAATCTTATAACATGCGACATTATGATAGATTAGGCAGGATCTCCCTTCTTGACACATAAGGTCTATAGTTTGCTTTACAATTTTTAAAAATTTCAGGGCTCGCTAACACAAAATCACATCTACTCCGCTCACAAAGGGAATCAAACAACGAACACAACAAAAATTATGCAATAAAATGGTACACAATACTATTCAAGAGAAAGGTCTATGACTCAACTAAAACTATGCCATGTAAATTTGATTAGAAGAAAAGATTGTGAGCGTTGAAAGTCAAACTACCCGATCATGAATTAACGCATCATCATGGTAGTGATGCATTTCCTGGACAGGAGGGGATGATATCTCTAGACAATTTTGGAAGTGACAGTTAAGAATCGCACAGACCTCAATAGTGCATAAGCAATGCAAGAACTTCTATAGACCACCCAATAATCTATGAGAATTCCCTTTATTAGGAATAATAAGTTCATATGCTACTTGAATGTTTATTTCCTCAAATCATAAGAATCACCCTCACCCTTTCAAAGGCTTCGCCAAAAGCTTAACTATTAACAATTTCATAGATTAGGCATGATCTCCCTTCATCACTTAAGGTTCATATTTTGCTGGATATTTTATAAAAATTTCAAAACATGCAAACACCTATTCATGTTCACTCTGCTCAAAACATGAATTACACAATGTAAACAGCAACAAAAAGATGCAATGACAAGTTCTAAGACACCACTAAAACTATAGAAAACTTGCCCTGTAAGTTACAACATGCATCCTACCCAAAAGCATACAAGTTGACAGAGCTTGTCCACGTAAAGTTTATCAAATAAACTAAAGAGTTGTTGGACGTGGCAGCAACCCCTTACGGGAATTAAGGAAGATAAGATTTCAAACGAAAAAATGTGACAACAAATATAAACAAAAGCTATGTTCCATTAAAATGTTGTAATGAGAAGTAAAAATGTTGTAATGAAAAACAAGTCAAACAACATATAACTAATGGGAAAACATGTACGACCAATCTAAAATGGAGTTCACTCTCATAAAAGGTGGCCAACCAGGTGAAAAAGGGGATAATTTTTCTTGGCCGACCTGCAAGGTTGGGCAAATGCAGCAAGAGAACATCAATATTTTCAACTTTTACATGGCAACATGGGAATCATGAAAACAGCATGCTAACGTGTATGCTTTATATGTTAAGGAAAAAATACAATTTCAGGACTAAAAGAAAAAAGAAAAGCTGTACCGCAGTTGGATCACCAAAAAACACTCCAAGGAAAATAGCTTTAATTACCTTATCCTTCAGCAAAGCCTCAAAACCAGACTTCTAATCTAAGCGAACGATGTCAAGCTGCAATTTAAGCTGCCAACATTAATATTTTGCTGCATGCCTTGGCAGAAAAATAGGTCAGGTTAAAATTAGACAAGAACTATATAAAGAAGGGAGGGATAAATAACATGTCCCATAGATGTAAACTACGTCTTAAATTTATAATAAAATCAAAACCAGAAAACGAACAAGAAGCTCCACTCACATGGCAGCCGTATTATAGGTAAATGAGTTGATTTCTAGGAAAGCACAAGGACTCTCAAAATATGTTGTTCGAATTGGAAAATCTCTTAGATCCCCATTGGCACCATTTTGCCCCCTTCTATGCAAGAAATAACCAGCCCTGAGCAGGTGCAGCACGACCTTCAAATCAAAGTTCACTGTTGCTATCACTGAGTTCAAAGACAGAGACAGGTTCTATACACATGAATACCTATTGTTGAATCTTTTCCACCGATGAAGCTGAAGGCAACCTCCTCAATACTGCAGAAAGAAATATATTTAGTGCACGCTAATATCAACAAATGCAGATTACGGATTCTTCTATATCATTATCATTATTTTGTTTCTTGCTCCCTTTTTTCTGATAAAACAAGGACAATAAGTTGCAAGAAGATTGATGGCCATCAAAGTTCATAAATTAAAATGTATTTTAACGCATCATTTTCACTTGAAATCGGACAGTGGCATGACTCAGTGGCAACAGAACCAGCGAAAGGCGTCCTGCTTTCTACAACCTCCCAATGAGAATTAATGCTCTTTGGAAAGAAATTGTTTTAGTCATTTCTAATAGATCTTTAAGGAATAATGCTCTTTGGAACAAAAAATTTGTACTCATTTCTAATAGATCTTGCAAAAACAATATCCAATTTAAAACAAGACTAGAATTATTCCCATGTTTTGCACAGAATATTCCAGAAAATTTAGAAAACTATACCTAAAGGTGATTAAAAAAATTTGTTTGTATTTAAGCTTAAAATAATCAACAGGAGAGGAAATAAAAAAAAAAGTCAAAAAATTTTTTTATATAACAAATTTAAATTCAATAAAACTTAAAATAGACATGCTATTATCAAAAAGATATGAACATATAAATTTTTAGTGAATAGTTTAGGTGGAACGGTAATATAAACAAAATAAATATAGTAAAAATAAAATTGACTAAATATAATGAAAAATGTAAGTAATATTAAAAGTAAAAATCCAATAATATTTATAAAGAGAAAATAAAGCCCATATACTTTGAAGGCGAGATTCCGTACGAGAAAATATGAAATCAAATATAAATATATCAATATAATTTTAAAAAATTTCAGAAACTGCCAACACAAAATCACGTTCACCCAGAAGCAAAATAATAAAAAGGGGCAAATCTAACTCGTCGCGCGTAAAATTTAAACCCACCTTATAAAAAGGAAAAAGACAACGACCCGGAAAATTAGATAAAATATAGCTGTCTCATAGGGAATTAAAGAACTTACGAATACAAAGCTAATGCTCTCTGAATGACATGGATAGTGTTGTCGTACTTCGTTTGAAGCCGTCGGTCGCACTCTCATTGATTTATCGATCTCCATGGACCGCAGCACGCAATAGAAATCTGAACATCACAATTAAACTTATACTTAGAGCAAGCAAGGACTTCAAAGATTGCGAATTTTTGGCATTTTCTCTAAATCAAGCCTGTGTTTCCCCGAAAAATTCCCTTCTTCACTGAAGAATTTCAAAAATGGCCTACAGCTCTAAGCAAACTAAGGGAATTACTACAATGGAACAAATAAGCTCTAATCTGCGAAATCAAAAGAACGCCAGAGATTGAAGGACATTGAGACAGATCAAATAATGAGGGAGAGCGGGATGAAGGGGGCGAAGAACGCGAAGGAAGAAGAGTCACCTAGATCTCTACGAGTCTAAGAAAATCCCTCCCTCCACGACGACGCATGACGGTGAAGACTGAAGAGAACGAGCTCAGCGCGCCAAATAGGTCCAAGGCAGGAACGCCAAATTAAGTTTCATTAATTCGGAGGACGTTGGTTTGGCGTGGAAAAGAAGCTATTTTCTTGCGGGGGGAACAAGCTTTTTTCCCGAAATGCCATTTATTATTATTAATTGTATTTAATTTGATGCTTTAATGTCTTTTTTACCGTTGCAGTCTTGGAAGACTTATTAAACACGTCGTTTCGTCTTATTGTTTTTTTTTTTTAATCACTTTAGAAAGATTTACTATTTACTTATTTTGGACGGTGTCTCTCTTTCTCAAGCGTAGAGGTTATTAATTATATTTAATTCGATGCTTTAATGTCGAAGTCTTGGAAGACTTATTAAACACGTCGTTTCGTCTGATTGCTTTTTTTTTTTTTAATCATTTTAGAAAGATTTATTATTTACTTATTTTGGATGGTGTTTCTCTTTTTCAAATTGTAGATGTGAAAATAATTTAAACTGAGTTATACTTCAGTTAAAAAGACTTGAGCTTATATAGTAAATTATAGGCTTAAATTTTATATAAGATTTTTTTTTATAATTCAAGCATGAGCTTATCTAAAGCCTAACCTAATTTAAAAAACTATTTAAAATCTATTTAAAATTAAATCTTTTAAATAAACTTGCATTTTAATTTTAAACGTTTCAAATATATTTTAAAATTATTATAATATATAATATATAACCTGATTTATTAATTACAATATATAATAATTAAAAAGACTTACCAATTATAATACAATATAATAATAAAATAATAACGTTAAAATTAATATATATAAATTTAATATGATTGAAAATATAACCAAAAATAAAAAAATAAGTTGATTAAAAATTAAATAGTAAAACTGTCATTTTTGTGATATATTATATTGTGTGTGTGTGTGTGTGAAGGGATGGTCCATTAGGCTTGTAAACTATGCCTTAAAAAATAAGCCTAGTTTATTTAATTAAATAGACACAATTAAAAGCACAAATCCAACTTAAGTTTGTCTGTTAAATAGGTTTAGTTAGACTTGAAGTAAGCTAAGTTATAAACCCATATTACAAATATGGCTTATTCTTACCTGTACTCACATGTTTGATATAATTGACAATTATTAATTATATTTAATTTCATGCTTTAATGTCTTTTTTACCGTTGAAGTCTTGGGAGACTACGTGCGTTTGGTTTTCAATTTATCAAAAGTTCATTTAGTGAAAATTCATTTGATAAAAATTAATTTAATAAAAGTCAGTTGTTATAACAAAATTTATGTTTGGATACATTTTTTTAAAAGTCAGTTTGATACACTGAAAGTTGTTTGGTTTGTGATAGTAAAATATGCTTTTAAATGTGCAACTACCAAAAAAAACATTAATTTATGATCATTTATAATTTTTATTGTACAAAGATAATATATTTAAAATATTTAAAAAATATGATAAAAATTTTAAATAACATAAATTTTGATCTATAATACTAAAAATTTGATCTCTAGTTATTTATGTTTTTTAATTTGTAATTTTAGAGAATGTGATAAATATTTGTAATTTTTATTATACATTAATGTTAAAAATTAACATGATTATTTATTTAATTTATAATGTTAAAAAATTGATACCTAATTATTATTATTAAAATAATAATTATATTTTAATGAATTAACTATTTTTTAAATAAAAAATAAGAGATTAAATTTAAGGTAATATGTTTAAGTAATATCCTACTTTTTAAATCAACTTTTTAAAAGATTCAAACAGTTATATTTTAAAAATTTACTTTTAGTTATTATTTGAATGTATTTTTAGGAGGTGCTTTTCAACTTTTTGAAAATAAAACTTTTGCTTTTTAAATGTGAAATGAAAAAAAAAAAAAAAACCAAACGAGCCGTATTAAAGATGTTGTTTCGTTCGGTTTTTTTTCCCTTATCATTTTAGAAAGACTTATTATTTACTTAGTTTGGATGGTGTTTATCTTTTTCATATGTTTCATATGATTGATAATTCTAATTTGTTGGATGATTATTATTTGAGACTCCCATTGATTATTACCTTTCCCTTATTTTCAAAAAATACCACAAAATGGTACAATTATTAGGACAAAACTAATACACTCAATCTTATATATTTAATATACTATTATTCAATCAAATTAAGATATGTAAATCTTAGCATGTTAATAATATTAATAAAAAAATTATGAATTAAATAATCTATAAAAGATATATATGTCTTGATTTAATAGAAAGTAAGTATCTAAAATATATTACGTTAAATATATAAATTTTCCTAAATTATTGTTAAGTTTTTAGAGGTTTCTTTGATTTTGTTTTTCCTTAGAAAATGACTTTTCTATCCCTCTTCAAAATAATTGAAAAAAATGCAAATAAATTTGTCATTTACTAACCTATTGTAGTTATTGGTACAATAAAAGTCATTTTCCAAACTAAAATAATTGTTTCAGTGACAAGACGACCTCTATGGTTTAGAAGAGATATTTGATTCGAACCTGATATTGATATATTGTTGTGTGTATATGGATAGGTGTATATCTCCTTTTTCTTTAAGGAAAATTTAAAAAAAAATTGTCATTTCCTACACTAAAATAGCCATTAATATACTGATGCAAGTATATAGATGGGTGTTTCACTAATTGGATCAAACTTTGTTGGTTATTAGCAAAATTGACAACTCAACAATTTAAATCAAGACAAATAATTTGTATATAAAATTTTATTCTTTTATTTTGCAATTTTTGTATCATTTACAATTTTATTGATTATTATTTTGCAGACAAATTATTTTAGTTAGGAGAGAAAATTTTACTTTTGTTTATGCATTTACAGTAAATAATTTGCACGAAAAAATATCATTTAATTGTATATTTTTATTTTGTTATCAACATTATATTTTATATATAATTTAATTAATAATTATATAAGTATTTTTATAGTATAATCATAATCATAATTACATAAATAATTTATTTATACATGCATGGTGTGAAATAAGGGGAAACAGGGAGCGGTAGGGGAGCAATTATAAAAGATTTAGGAAGGGCTTATAGAATATGTACAGGTTTGTCACAAAACAAATTTTAACAAACATTAAAAATTAAAAAATAAAATAAAAATTTCATTTTACATGAGCCATTTTTTATGTTAACGTACTCTACATAACAAAAGCTAGTTTTTCATATTATAATATCTTGGTAAATAATTTTAAAAGTATAGCATTTGAGGAAATTCTTTTTTTATCTGTAACATTGCGCTTAATTTGCTCTTCAACGGACTTTTGAAGATCAACAAAACTCTTGAAGGAAACTAAAATTTGTTGAAGATTATTGAAGACTTTTGAAGAAAGCGAAAGATAATTAAAGCTACTTGAAGAATTTTTTGTAAGACACATGTTGAAAAAATTTGAAGATTAATAAAAACTTTTGAAAAAAACTAAAAAGTAAAAACTCTCAACGATTACCAACAACCATGGAAGATAATTGAAGATTTTTTTTCCTTGAAGATATATTGATAAATTTTTAAAATTGTGGATGGTAATTGAAATTACTTGATTTTTTTTATTGAAGATACGTTGAAGACTTTTAAAAAAGTGTGGAAAATTATTGATAAAATATTAAAGATATATTGTAAAAAATATCTGAATGAAAAAAGTAGGGAAAATGATGTTAAAGTTACATACAAGAGAATTAATTACTATAAGGTCCATTGACAATTGAACTAAACTGTATTGACAACACAACCAATTGTTAATATAATTTAATTTAATTATTAATAAATTTTACAATAATTAATTTTTTTATGTGAAATTTAATTGTAATTTTTTCAAAAAAGCAAGAGTAATCTATCAAAATACGATAAGTAAATGGCGTTGGTCTTGTTATATATTAAAAAGTAAAGATGATATGTTGTGATTGGTCTGTTACGGTAACTTTTCAATGTCAAATCGATGTTATAAATCGTAAGGATATTTTGGTAAATTTCTGATCCAAACTTAATCCTTTGAAGGACCTTTAAAATTTTGGTCCTCACACCCAAATATATATGTCTTATGGTCCTTTGGACCAATTTTCTGTTTAGGGTTTCACATTGACCCCAATGGACTCGCATTGAGTCATGACTATCTTCTATTCTTTATTTACTTCCTATCTTGCCAGAAGTAACCATGACTCAACTCTAGATATTTTAATATTTCAAAAACTATAAGCGTGTGTTTGGAAAGCACTTTTAATTGATTATTTGAGGAAAAAATTAATTTTTGTAAAAATTATCCAAACACCTATTTATTTAAAAAATTGATTTTTGCCCAAAAAAATTGACTTTGTTCTCAAAGCTACCAGAGTCAGCTTCTGCGTTCAATTATTCAAAAAATATGAGAAAATTACAAAAAAGACTTGAGAAAAAAATTTTAAGAAAGGTACAAAATTTAATAAAACTAAAATTAAACTTTATTCTCTTCTTCTTTTTTTTAGTAAAATTCAAACTTTGTATTTTTAAAAAATTTACTAGTATAAATTCCTGTCAACCACTATCCTCCACTTAACACTTGCTATAAAACTAATTTAAATAAAATATTAATTAATAGAAAAAAATTAATTTAATTTAATTTAAAATTAAGAATTATTACAAAGATTACTGCAAAGATTCGGAGAGAGAAATTTTATGTTATTTGTTACATTGCTACATTTTTTATGTTGTCAAAATTTTTAAACAGTGCTTAATATCTTTGTCAAATATGGCTTATATTTATGATGTTATTAGAGATCATATTATATATTATTATCTTTATTAATTATTGTAAAATTGATGTTTGGTATTTAAGAATTAAATCTTTCTCTTTTATTAAATTTATTTGAACTAAAATATATTGAGTTATTTATTTACATAAATTAAAATTATTGATATTAATATAATTTAAATTTTTATAATTAATTAGATACATACTTTAAATAATATATTTTAATTGTTAAATACTAGATACAAATTTATTAATAATTTAATTTTGAAAGGCAATATCCTTTATGTAATTTATACAGTTAAAATTAATTATAAATAAATTATCTAAATATTTTTAATTTTATTAAAATTAATTTTAAAAAATAATATTCAAACAGATTACGTTATAATATAATTAATTATAATTAACATCTATTATTTAATTAATTATTTTTATAATTTATTATATCTGACTGTCAGATAGATATGAGATTTATTAACTGCATTCAATCTGACTTGATTGTTAAAAAAAAAAATTTGTATGTTCCATGCCCAAAAAATCTCTCTCTTCCCACTCTCCCCCCCCCCGGGGCCCCTGCCCCCACCCTGTTTCACATCACCTCCTCCCCCTAAAAACACAAGCCAGTAATTAGCGATGAGGAGGATCCAGTTGAACTCTGTTAGCAGATGAATGGGGATTTTGATTTTGAATATTGTCTTGTTCTGTTTTATATCGAGCAATCCCTCTTCAGATGAATCAAATTTGCCAGATGAATGTTGTCGCAATTTCTTTCTCATTTTTTGAAATGATATTGTTCCGTTAGACTGAAGCAAGTAAGCAAAAGGAAAGGCAGAGTGAAGTAGTTGTTAAACGCGATGCTTCATCCTTTATGTATTGTGTTCTGCTCTGTTCAATTAAGCTCTAAACATCAAGCGTGAAATACTATATAGCTCAAAACTAAACAGAACAAACATACTTCTAGAAAAGCCCAAAAGCCATAAAAACAAGTAGAAATAGTTGCGTTGTGCCAAACATTCACACAAAACTACTCAGCAGACTGGAAAATAAAACCAAATCGTAAAGAAATTTAAAAATATTTATGTGAATTAAAATTTAAAAATATCAACAGCCTTTGCACCTGAAATTTCAAATCATGAATTCTGCTTTCTCCTCAGCGTGAGGTATAACCTGGGAGAAAGGGGAAACAACCCAAGTAGCAGGGGATTTATTGATTTACAGCACTTGTATGCCGACAAAGTACAAATTGATTTGAGCAAAACAATGCAATCTGCATTCGGACCTTCCACTTTCAACCGTATTGAGAGGGAAACCTCCCAGTTAAAAATTACAAATTAATTATGCATTGCATGACCATCTAGCTAGCAATCAGTTTCCCTTTCTCTTTATTCAAAAATTCGAGTATCATTTATATAACGTTGGTAAAAGTCTAGTGTGCTCCAAAATCTGTATCCATTTCCCAAAACCTACTTAATTGCTATCCCAGTTTCTTCTTTTTCTATATTCTTTTCTTGCTCATCAGTTTCAAACATTAAACCCCTCAGAACGCAGGCACAGACGGTGAGCCTCAATCCATTTTGTGCAAGCCGATTCACCGTGCTCTACTATACATTCATCTCGCAGCCTTTTACTGTCCGGGCAAGCACAGCAGATTTTCTTCTTTGGTTTTGACTCCGCACCAGTTGCCATAGTTGCTGAGCCCCGGCTTTGCTGTGATCCCTGTAAAACCAAGACAGGGGAAGCGTTTTGCAGTTCCATTCCCATCCGAATGACTTGAACACTAATGAAACAAGAAGAGGGAAAAAAAGTAAGTCAGATAATGATGGAAATAGAGAAGTGAATAAAACTAAAGTTTATACTGAAACAAGATGTGAGTTGGAGACAAGGATAAAACTCTGGTTAAAATGAGAAAGATATAGTAATATATTCATCTAACACGGGCGAGGAAGCAATGACACAGAACTTGACACCGGACAACATGAAAAATTGTTTGGCATCGAAGTAAATTCCAAGTGTGGGGTAATGTTTAGTACAATACAAATTTCCTACAAGTTTCAACCATAAACATGCTCTTTCAAGTGTTGAGTACTGGTTCCAAAGCATTTGAAGCAGTTATAACCACACGGGTTACTAGAAACCCACTCTTGGACAGTCATACGGTGCAATTTAATATAATATAAAATTGAAGTTCAAAGTGTTTTTGAAATCTCGAAAAAAACACAGTATGGTATATCTACTAGAAATGACATGACACCTTGCCAAATAGATGAGATGAAATTTTGAAGTGCTGCGATATGGTAGATTGATTAATAAATCCCCACCAAAATTAGATAGTGGCCGAACTGCCCAAAAGAAGACCCGCTTTATGAGCTAAGTTGTTTTAGCTCCAACAAGCAGGCCATAATACTAGGATGCGTGCTAAAAATATGTTAGCAGAAAAAATAAAACCGGGACCTGGCAGCTTGATCCTACTAATTGCGTGGTGACAAAGTTATACAATATGGAATGCGATTATACAGACACTTAATCGATGAACCAAAAGAGGGCAAATCCTTCAACAGAAGTTTTATTTTTATTCAATTAAAAATATAAGAAGCGAAAATGGTACCGATGCCATTCTCGAGACTCTCGGCCATACTCCGGACTCACGAAATTACAGATATTCTTTCAATTCTCAGTTTCATAGTTCGCAGAAAATAACAATATCTCATATACTTCAGAAAGAGGACGAAGACGAAAATGAAACGGACAATAATAAGTTTTGGCCATTCTACAGCATGAAAGAATGGGAACTAAATAAGTGGAGAGAAAAACGATGGCTTACCAACGATGGAGAATTGGCGTATTTCTCACGTCTGTCTGTGCCAGCCTCCCCGATTCTTCTGGTTTCGCCTGCGCAATGACCAGCTTTCGAAGGGAGTAAAGCAAAGAAAGAAGATCTAGAGGAGTCTGTAGTGGGCCTGGTGGGCTTGGGATGTTTCGTACCAGCCCAAAATTAACAGCTTAACGCCAAGTACTCTCCCCCGGCCCAACAAAATCGGAGGCACCCATTCCTTTAATTTAAAAAAAACTTCGTTGTCAAAAAAAAGTTACTTCAATTAATAATTATTTAACACATAATTCACGAGATCATAAATTTAAATTTTACTAATGTAAAGATTTTATCTGTGCACGATTTGTAAGTTTGACCTAATAAGTTTCTACAACACAGCTCACTGAAACTTTTTTCCTGTATAAAAAAAAAAATCCTTTTTGTAATGAAGTTAACTCAGCTGCCTGTGTTGCTGTAACTTTCACAATGAATTCATCTCAATTTTTCAACAATTTACAACTCAAGAGATATTCATAATTTTCAATCACACTCGATTACTCATCCAACATGGTCGATGAAGTTGTCGATTCAATAGATCTTGGTTTTAAATCACTATAATTAAAAATAAAAATAATCATGTTGTGTTTTTCAGAACTTCTATAATGAATTCTCGATCCGTCATTCACCTAGGGATTTTGATCAATCATATATTAAAGCCCAAGTTATGCCAAAAATTTCATCACGTTCATTCTCTCACCTAAAAGCTATTTGATAAGTTGCAAAAGTTTGAATGAGTACTGGCTTCAATGCTTTGACGATTCAAAACCAAAATAATATTTATTGGTAACTAAATATAAGTCCTGATATTAAAAAACTCAAAAATTAAGAAGGTATCAAAATCTATTTGTATATTGTATTTCCTCTATTTTAAATTATAAAATATTTTTAAACAAAATGTTACGCATCAATAAATCTCATTAAATGCACTTAAAAATTTTATTTCTTTCAAAATAAAAATATAAATTTTTCAAAATACCTATCATTTGATATACTAAAGATAAAAGCAATGAAGATTAATTTTAAAGAGAGAAAGGATAATATTAAAATTGACACATTTAATAAAATTTTAATCTACTCAAAGCGTTTTATATTTTGGGACGAAATTTTTTTAAAAAAAAGTCTTATAATTTGGAATGGAGAGAGTATAAAAGCTAATCTTTCTTTTCTATTTTCACCTTCCATTTAATACTGTAATATTATGAATTAAATAACCTAAAAATAAATATCAATTATGTCTAATGCATATTTTGGATTACATCCCAGCCCAAGTTAGATCCAAGCCTAAGTTATAATGCTAAAAGCTTTATTTATTATGTTTGGATACCAAAAAAATTTCAACCACGTTTGGGGTGCAAACGAGCTTTTTTAATGAAGTTGACCACCCTAGCCTTCTCACTAGCATTGGAGGTTATAAATGTTGGAGCATTAATGCTTTTTTAAATTCCCCCCTCTCTCTCCATCCATTATCTGCTACCTAAGCCAATAAAAACCGAAGCCCTTCATTGCCGTTGTCCCATGGTAGCTCATCCCTTGCTTGCCCTTCACTCGCCCATGTTCGCCAGATCAAGTGAGTGATGACAGTTGCTATCGTCGCTAGGAATTGATCTCCGTCTTGTGTGTTGTAATGCATTTATAAAATCCAAAAAAAATTATTCTATCGATTTACTTTAGATTTTTTAATTCTGACTTTAAAAAAATAAAATTGTAATTTAAAGTTCAATATTTTTTCTAAAAATATCAAATTAATGTCAAAAATATATATACAAAAAAAATCTATGTCCATTTTTGTCATGGTATGTCTCAATTAACTTTTAAATTAAATCATCTGAATAAAATTTAATTTTTTCAATTAACTTTTAAAAAAAGATATTTAAACATAAATTGACTGAGTCTTAACTTTAGTTGTGAATTTTTTAATCCAAACACACACTTAAATCATTAGATGAGGTATTTTTTGGGAGAAAAAATTAACTATACAAGGAGATCTATGTTGAGATTTATATTTGTAAATAAAAGGATATAAAAATTACAAATAAATATTAATTCAATTGGTAAAAATTTAATTCATAATTTACAAAATTATATATGTAATTAAAATTTATTGTCAATATGAATTTATAAATCCTCAACGTTATTTGTTTATCTTTGCTTCTTCTTTGGATGACATTGTTATAGCCTTATAGAATTAATCCAATATTTTTGTCTTGGCATGTGATCCACATCGATTGCATTCTAATCAAATCGATCGGATTAAAATTGATTAAAACAGGTTATTGCTATGCTTTCATTAGATCAAAATCAAAATATTTGCAAGATACATTTTTTTGAGGTAGACATGGTGAGATGCATATTTTATACAAGATTAAGGGTCAATTTTATCTTTAAAGCATACACAAAATGTTATAAATAATCTTAAATTTAATTATGAATCATTTATATATCTTAATATTAACTTTTTTTTGATCTATTACCTTGCCCTTTTTTGGCTCATTTTTTCTATTAGTGGGCCTACATTCAAATTTTTTAACATCTATTTATTATAAAATATTATTTATTAGGTGGTTGTGAACACCGTATTTTGTCCGGGCATTTTTTTTAAAAATAATAATAAATAACCAAAAATATATATAAATACAAAAAATTTTAATCCTTTTTAGGATTATATTTTCAAGAAAATAATAATAATAATAATCATCATCATCATCTAACAAAAAAATCCTCTCTCCTTTTACCTTAGATAACCCTTCTCTTAAAAGAAAATTAATTAAAAAAAATATACTATGAAATTGAATAATTAAATAAAATAAAATAAAGAGGTAGTATCACGTGCATGCCAATTTGAACTGCCCAGCTTCAGCAACAAAAACACAGCAGACATGAAACAGACAAAAAGAAGGAAAACGAGAGAGAGAACAGTCAGCCACGCATGCACGAAGAGAACGCCGGAAAAACGCACGAGCAGACGCAGAAAAAAGGAACTTTCAGCCATGCAGAGAAACCAGAACACGTCAACGCACAGCCACAGCTACACAGAGAACACACACAGAAAAAACAAGCAGAGACGCACAATGAAAGGAAATAGAAACATGCACGTACACGAGAAAGCAAAAAGAAAAACACAGCACCAACACATACGAAACACACACAGAAAAAGTAGAGGCATGGACACGACAGAAGAAAAAGGGAAGCAGAAAGGCAGCACCCACACGCAAAGAAAAAGAAGAGCCATGCAGAAATGAAAACAGAGCAGAGAGCTTTCGGCGCACGCAGAAAATGCAGCGGAAGAGAAGGGAAAAGGAAGAAGCAGAGAAAGGGAGTAATCATTCAGCTCTTCCATCCTCTATATAAGGAGTGACAGGGCTGGGAGAAAAGAGGAGGAGACGGAGGAGGTGAAACAGAAAAAGAAAGACCGAGAGGACTGAAAACAGAAAACAGAGACAGAGGAGAGAGTCCGGGAGAGGAAGAGAAGAGAGAAAGAAAATAGAGCAGAGAAGAAGCAGCAGAAAAGGAGAGGAAAAATGGAGAAACGAGGCGAGAAAAACTGGAAGAAGGAGATCAGAAGTAAAAACAGAGCATAGGAGAACTGAGAGAGAGCACGAGGACGAGCGAAGACTGGAGACGAAAAGAATAACAGAGCAACTGGAGAGAGAGAGAAAGTGTGGAAGTTTGCAGGGGCTACTGCCATCACTGATGGTGCACTTCGTCCTCCTCTGTGTCTTCATCTCCTCTTCCTTTCTCAGTTACGGGCATCGCGGGAGCGTGTAAGTTTGCAGGGGCTACTGCCATCACAGACGGTGCACTTCGTCCTCCTCTGTGTCTTCATCTCCTTTTCCTTTCTCAGTTACGGGCATTGCGGGAGCGTGTGTAAGGTTAGTTCACACCTTATTAATTGCTTCTATGAATTTTATATCCAGGTGAATAAGTCTCGAATATACGTATTTATTTTTATGCTCATATGCTAAGCACATATATATATTTTTTTTTAACTTAAAACAGGAGATTTTGAGAATTTTTACAGGAATTTAAAATGATCTCATACCATAAAGATCAATAAGATTTTACAAGTATGGGGATCAATTTTGCAGATACTTATACGGGTTCTAAAGGCCCATTATTAAAATTAACTCTTTCTTTATACTAAATATTTAAGTTCCATGTGAGATTTTAAGAATCTTCGTAGGAACTTAAATTAGTCACATTATTATGTGGGACAGTAAGTCCTCGTAGATATAGTGATTTTCAATTTTTGTAATAAATAAGTAATTTTTGCAAATAATCATATAATATACAATTTAAGAAACTTAATTAACCAAATTAAATGTATTTAAATTGTAACCATATTTACCAATTATATCTTTTAGCCACGTGAAATTTTTGAATCTCCGTAGGCTTCTAAGATCATTGTATTATCGTGTGAGTCAATAAGACTCTGCGGATATAACGATTTAGTTTTTAAAATATATATACATATATATTATATAATTAATTAAATCAATTAATTAAATTTAATTCCTGTCTCGTGTGAGATTTTAGAATCTCCGTAGATATTTAGGATAATCATATTACCGTATAAGTCAATAAGGCTTTGCAGGTATGATGATTAAAATTCTTCAAAACATGTATATACATACTTAAAATATATTTTTGATACTTAAAATGTACATAAGAATATAAATAAATAAATTGAATTGCCAAACTCTTCTATCATGTGAGATTTCAGAATCTTCGCAAATACTTAGAGCAATTGCATTACCGTATGAATCAATAAGGTTCTACAGGTACTGCAATTAAATTTCTAATCATAAAATATAAAGAAAGATAATTTTAAACCCTTTCATTTCTTTATTCAAAATTCAAAAATTGAGAAAATAATTAAAATTAAATTACCTTTTGCAATTTAAAACACACATATCAAAATTTCAGAAATTGTTTTATTTGCAAAATGGTGAGTTATTTCTAATTAATTTCTCTTCAAAAAATATTTTTACCGACAAACTTTTAAGCCCGAACTACGTGGACTTTGATCCCCATCACAGGGTACGTAGGCCTCAGAGTCAGATTCTGAGTCAAGTCCGTCCTCTCTCGTAAATAAATAAACATTTCTCACTCAATTATCATTATTTTTATATCAAACACATGAATATAAAAGGGATAATTAAAATAATTTTAAAACCATATTAATAGAGCACAACAAACTTCAGGTAACTGTTCTCACGAACGGGTGTTGTGGGGTGCCTAACACCTTCCCCACACTCAACCGACTCCCGAACCCGTTCTCTGATTTCGCAGACCACCCTTATCTTCCATTAATCGGTTTCCCGAGATTTACCTCAAAATCTTGGTGGCGACTCCTCGTTCGATCCGGTTCCCGCCGCGAAGGCCGGGACCTCCGCTCGCGCGCCGTCCGCGTCGCATTTTTCCGGGTGCGACAGTTGGCGACTCCGCTGGGGAGAGTTAGAGAGTCAAGCCTATAAGTCTGTTATGCTCAAAATATAATATGGTTTATCTTTATTATCCCTTTAAATTTATGTGTCCCTTGTTCCTTTCTCTTTTTCCCTTTTCTCTTTCCTTTTGTATTTTATAACATGTTTTTAAGGTAGATAACATGCGGAATAAACCTTAAGATAGATGACTTTTATTTGTACATATATTTGTTTCTGTATTTGATCTGATTAAAAGTTGGGAGTTGGGTAGCATATGAGAATAAGATAGCATGCTTGCATGCTCTCATCACACTATACACTTACACAATTTGACACACACATATTTTGGGCCCTATACCCGGGTCTGTGAGTACTATAGGTTAGTAGAGGTTAGTAGTGGTTTCCCTGTGGAGTTTTTGAACTCTCGGAGGTTACCATGAATACCTCACCCAAGCTGTTACTTGCCTAATAAATTTGGTCCCTGTAGAGCTTATGTTCTTGGAGGGCCAAGATTATTAAGTAAGGTCTTCACCTTTGTGTGAGGGCATCTTGAGAGCCTTTTAGGAATATACATCCACCCGTGAATTACACGTTTCAGACAACAGCTAGTAGCCAACCATTCTAGTGAGCACCCGATTATGAACTTAAGTCTCCCTGAATAGGACGCAGGATGAGAGTATTGATCTTTTATTGCATCATTGTCATAGCATGTCATCATAAAGTATTCGCATTTTTTTAAAAAAAAACCACAAATTAAATAATTTCTCTTGTCATTGAGACTTTAGCCATGTGTCAGTTTTAGCTGCACATAGGCTAATTAATCCCTTTCTCCCTATGGGGCAATAAGCACATTGAGGAGAGAATGGATTTTTTTTTTCTTGCATATCTATTATCAAAATCATTTTTATCATTTTTTTTCTCCTTTCTCAAAAATAAGATTGTAAGGCTAAACCTTTCAACATTAATCATGTAGGGGATTTAAGCCTCTCGTCCATTAATTGTTTACTCCATCTCCCTATGGTGCAATAAGTATCTAGAGGAGAGGGTTTTCAAAAAAGTGAGCCAGATAGCTTGCTAAAATTATGAGAATTGTATATTATTAACCTTTGTTTTGATTAACAGGAACCGTGAGTTATCCAGAATCTTTGTGAAATTGGCATAAGGGATAAATGGCACTCGAAGGTAGTACAAATCTAAGTCATACTGGAAAATTATATCAGGGAAAAGGGATCAAATTATCTGTAAAAGTTGAGCCGCTGGAAACCTTAATTGAGTTGAGCCGTCATATCAAAGGGAAGATTATGCAAGATTTTAAAAGGAAATATGGAAATATCTTGGATCTTCTGTCAGTCACAATACATAATGATGCAATAATGGAATTAAGCCAATATTGGGATGCCTCGTTAAGATGTTTCACATTTCAAGACTTCCAAATGGCACCGACTTTGGAAGAATATGGAGAAATTTTGAGAATGCCCCTTAAGGAGAACATGGCAGTATATCTTTATCCTGGATATTTACCATCTCGAGGCACGATAGCGAAAATTTTGGAAATTCCTAAGGAAAAGGTACGAATGGTTTGCCCAGGACAAACAGAGGGAATCTCAAGAGCTGATGTAGAAGCCCACTTGAAAGTTTTGGCAGGAAAAGAGGCTTGGGTTACATTTTGCAGAGTCTTTGCCTTATGCATATATGGAATAATCCTGTTTCCATCATCAATTGGCATAATTGACTTAGGAGCCATTAGTGTATTCCAAATGGTGGAATACCATAACGTGAATCCAGTACCAGCAATCTTGGCAGAAACGTACTTGACCTTAACTCAATGTCACGATAAAGGGAAAGGAAAGGTCAATTGTTGTATTGCATTACTGGATTTATGGATGCTTGGCCACCTTTATGGAAAGACGCTTCCTTTCAGAAAGAAGAACGACTCAGACAGTAATCCACTCATGTCTTTTAAAGGCCAATTCATGATTGACGGAATGAGCTACATGGATTGGAAAAGAACCTTCTCAGAACTTAAAGAAAGTTCCATTTTATGGAAACTAGACTGGTGGTGGAAAGAGGAGGTTATTTACCATTGTGGTGACTTTCCGAATGTGCCTTTAATGGGACCCAGAGGGTGTATCAACTATAACCCTTCCTTAGCGTTAAGGCAACTGGCCTATAAGCAAAATGTTCCTTCTAAGAAAGAGGTGCAGGAGTTATACTTTCTACATAAGGAGGATGGGACAAAGTTATTAAGCCAGAATGTCAAAGAAGCATGGCAAGAGATAGGTTACAAAGGGAAGATTGAGCTAGGGATACGTGTAGTAAACTCAAGTCCAGAATACACTACTTGGCTGAAGAGTATGATTCAAGGAGCAAATCCTTTATTTCATCCTCAAAATCCCTTGTTAGGCAATGACTTGAAAGAGATTAATGGCCAATTGGTTGAATGCTTGAAGATGAAGGAAAATGAGTTACAAGCGCTTGCTAACTTAGAGTCTAAGAATAAAGAAGAATTGGAAAAATACCAAAACGAATGCGTTGAGTTACGGAGGAAGCTAGCAAAGGAAAGAGAAGGGCATAACCTTGAAGAAACACCTGAGACTAAGAAATTGAAAAAGGAAAATGCCAAACTGAAAAGGGAAGTGCAAACTAGTGATAACAAAGTTCAAAGTACTAAAGCAAGACTTGTCAAAATAGTCAGGGAAAATGATGCATTGAAGAAGGAATTACAAGACATCAGACCCATTGAGGAGATGCAGCAAGAAATCAATACGCTCACAAGACAATTGGAAAGGAAGGTGAATGAACTAGCCAGGGTGAGAGGAAGTGCAGCTGAGACAGCACAGAACTTTGTTCAGAGGCTTAATCAACAAAATGAAGTCTTAGAAGAGTGGAAATCACTTTGCCTTGATCAAACAGAAGAAACCAAAGAGTGGATGTTAAAATGTAGGCAGATAATTGATTTGGCTAATGACAAAATTCCAGAATTTGCAAGAGCATTTAAGCAAGCTGAAGGCATGGTTCTCCCTGGGGGAACTCCATTAGAGATTGTTGAATTCTTCCATTTGTGCAATGAAATTGTAAAAGAACTCAATAGCGTGACGAAGTTCTAAATCTGTATTAACATTTGAATCATTGTATGAGGATCTACATGACGCTTTGTGGTTGTGAAATTATTGATTAATTTGTACTACCATCATTTTCTTAAGACCTTGAATTTCGATAGGATCCAATGTCCATCTAATTCAATGGTCAACTTTAAATCCCCTATGAAGTAATAAATTTCTGGAGGAATTTAAAGGGTGCCAGTGTCGCGAAACCCTTATGTCTACACAATGCTGGATATCTTACGAAACAAACGTAAAGGTAAAACTTATTAAAATTAATTATTATGTTACACAGGTAAGCCAACATTGCGCCTCGAAAGAAAAACTCGGTTGACCAGATTCCCACCACTCGAGCATACAACACACGATCGCGTAGTCGTGCAATGGAAAATTCAACGGGAATGAGTCAGCAACCTTAAATGATCGGATGTCTGCAGTGGAGTCTAAAATGGCTGAAATAAGTGACATGATGAAATTGCTAACAGAGGCTCTAAAAGGACGGAGTGATGATAACCCACCACGAAATACCGTAGCAGATGAGAACGCGGTTAATAGAACAATTGAGCCAAACAGAGGATCAGATCCTAAAGTACCCACGCCAGAGAAACAAGATTCTGGGATAGGGGCCTTTAACATACCGGATGGTCCTGGGGAAGATCATGCCTACATGTTCCAAATCCCACAAGTGCTACATAAAGAGAAGGAGTTGAAAGAAGAACTTGGAGAGATGAAAGATCAATTGAAGGCTCTTCAAGGATCAAACACGTGGGGTTCCTTAGACTTGAAAGAATTATGTTTGACCCCAGAAATCGATGTTCCCAAGAAATTCAAGATGCCAAGCTTCGATAAATATGATGGTACAAGTAACCCAATTTATCATTTGAGGGCCTATTGCACAAAGATGTCCATATGGTCACAAGATGAGAAGTTTCTGATAAACTTCTTTCCCGAAAGCTTAACTGGAGCCGCATTGACTTGGTACATGCAACTAGACCAAACCAAGATTAAAAGATGGAAAGACCTTGTGGATGTTTTCATGAGACAATACAAGTTCAATCTTGATACTGCTCCGACCAGAGAACAATTGAAAGCAATGACCAAGAAATCATTAGAGTCATTCAAAGAATATGCTCAAAGATGGAGAATAGTGGCTTCGCAAGTGCAACCTCCAATGGTTAATTCCGAACTTTGCTCGTACTTCATCCGTGCGTTGCCTAAGCCATTTTACCAACACATGATAGGAACACATGTCACTGATTTTGCTGATTTAATGGTAATTGGGGAAAGGATTGACATAGACATACGAGAAGGGAAGATAGCCACTTCTCAAGCTGAAAGTAGTTCACGAAAGAACTATGACCAAAAAAAGAAAGAAGGGAATGTGAACTATATTCAACCTATAAGACAAGCAGCTACCAATTCTCAAGTCCCTTATCAAGTAGAGGGAAGGAATCAAAGACAGCAACAATTTGGGTTCAGGCCTAACAAGCATGGACAGGATGGAGAGAGGAGAAATGTCCAATCCAGGGATAGTCGCCCATGGCCCAATTTTGGATTAACAAATGCTGAATTGTACCATAAACTTTTGACAGCCCAATTATTAGGTCCGCGACCTTATAAGCCTCTTGGTCCGCCTTACCCGGCATGGTATAATCCAAATGTTGTTTGTGAATACCACATGGGTGCACCTGGGCACTCAATAGAAGACTGTGTGACGTTTAAAAGAAATGTGCTAGACCTAGTTGATTCTAACCATATCCAGCTTAAAGAAGAGGGAAGCTCTACCCTTACTACTGATCCACTCCCAAATCACGAAAAACGAGTCAACGCTATTGAAGAAGAAGATGCGTGCTTCAAAAGCTCCGCAAGAATCAGGATGCCTATGAATGAGCTTTATGCTCATTTAAAGGAGTATGGCTATATGCGAGAAATGCTCCTCACGAATAATATCAGTGATCAAATGCCTGGATACTGTGAATATCATCAAGAGAAAATAGGCCATGACATAGAAAGTTGTGAACAGTTTAAAGGAGCTGTTAGAAAAATGATGGCGTTAGGGATCGTGTCTGTAAAGAGGGGAGACGCCAAAGTGTGCATGGTAGAAAAAAAACATGTTGAGCTTGTCATTAAAAATTTGAGCCCAAAAGAACGGGTTCAGGCAGTCTCTTTTGTGATAAACAAAGCCTCTGCAGATCTTGTACCTCACGTAAGACAACCAACATTGACCATAAGCACGCCTCATCCCTTTCCCTATGAAAGTGATCGAGCAGTCCCGTGGAAATATCAAAGCATTGTGGAGAACCACAAAAACCCAACGTTGATTGCCGGGACAAGCAATGAAATGGCCAACCAAGGGGGTGTTACTCGAAGTGGAAAACCATACTTACCATCTTACATTAGGAAAATGGTAAAAGAGAAAAATGCAAGTATTAATAGGCCAAAGGAAGACAATCCTAAAGAAATGGAAAAATTAGAAGATGAGTTTTTATCGATTATGAAGCAAAGTGATTACAGCATTGTGGACCAATTGAAGAAAACTCCAGCGCGTATCTCCATACTTTCTTTGATTTTAAGTTCCGAAGCGCATCGTCAAGCATTGCAGGAAGTGTTGAATCAAGCTTTTGTGCAGCCTAATATAACCCCTGAGAAGGTGGCAAGTGTAATGAATGTTGTAAAAGCCTCCTCTACCATTTCCTTTTCGGAAGAGGAAGTTACAGAAACCGCTGTTCACCAAGCCAAGGCTTTGCACATCACTTTGAAATGTGAAGGGTTCATAATCGCAAGAGTATTAATTGATGGAGGATCAGCGTTAAATGTCTTGCCGCTCTCCACATTTGAATCATTATCACTAGAAGCTTCAGGTGTACATAAAAGTAATATTGTGGTAAGAGCATTCGATGGATCAAGACGGGAAGTATTAGGATCCATTTGTCTCTCCCTGGAGATAGGGCCGAGCAGGTTTAAGGTGGATTTCCAACTCATGAACATAGACCCAAGTTACACAATGCTGCTAGGAAGGCCATGGATTCATTCTGCTAGGGCTGTTCCTTCTACCTTACATCAAAAGGTTAAGTTCATCAGTGATGGGAGAATTATAGCAGTTAAAGGAGAGGAGGAAATCATGGTGAGCAAACCAAGCTCACTCCCTTATATTGAGGCTGCAGAGAAAGATTATGGAGTTTCCTTTCAAAGCCTAGAGGTCGAGGGTATTTGCGGTAGTACTCACAACATCAATTCCGTCGTGGCTAAAATCATGGCGAAGAGTGGGTTTATGCCAGGGAAAGGTTTAGGCTCTCATTTACAAGGAATTACGTGTCCAATTAAGGTTTTGGATAATTGTAATCGCCAAGGGTTAGGGTATGAGCCTACCCTGGAAGACCAGATGAAAGACAAAGCAAGTTTGGCAAATGGCAAAAAGGCCAGTAAATTGGAGATTCCACACATTAAAGAATCCTTCCCAGGCCCGTCCGAGGTGATATATAAACCAGCTATCTCAGTGATCTCTTTTAATGAAGATGTACCATGCAGAACAAGTGCCTCAATTGCAGTCGATGATTCCAACAAAGTTCTGGCGAATTGGGAGTTTGAAGAGGCCAATGATGTCATTAGCTTAGAGTAATTGTTTCAATTATGTTGTTCCTATTTTATCCACTTTTGAGCCCAGGTTTAGGTAATAGATCTTGGGTATTCACTAATGCAAACTTTTGATATACATAATTCATGAAAATGAATTTCAATTGCATTCATGTCTATTTCTTTATTCCACCCTATCTACTTCAATACATCTTTCTCCGTTTCATTCCTGTTCCTTATTTCATCTCGTTCCATATTCATTATCCAGGGATTTTGTTTCTTCTGATTCCATCTCCCACCCAGAGATTAATAAACCCTGTGAAGATGATTCATTCGTTGCCACTGATATGCATGATTGTGAGTCTGATGATGAAGACATAATCCAAACTTTTTCAAAGATGCTTGAATTGAGTGATAAGGGAATATGCCCACATGAAGAAGTGATTGAGATGGTTAATATGGGAACCGAGGAGGATCAAAGAATGCTCAAAATAGTAGATAATCCTGAAAGGGAACAAATGATTGAGTTGTTCAAAGAATACATAGATGTGTTTGCATGGTCATATAAAGACATGCCTGGGCTAGACCCAAGCATTGCTTCTCATAAAATACCATTACTTCCCAAGGTCGAGCCTAAGAAACAAAAGTTAAGGAGAATGAACACGGGGGTGTCCTTGCAGATAAAAGAAGAAGTAATAAAGCAGTTAGAAGCAGGATTTTTGGAGGTAGTAACTTACCCACAATGGGTGGCAAATATTGTTCCTGTTCCTAAAAAAGATGGTCGGATTCGAATGTGTGTTGATTATCGTAATTTAAATAATGCGAGTCCGAAAGATGACTTTCCATTACCCCACATTGATGTATTGGTCGATAATACTGCTCGAAGCTATCGCTATTCCTTTATGGATGGTTATTCAGGGTACAATCAAATCCCTATGCATGAAAAGGATAAAGAGAAAACAACCTTTACAACCCAATGGGGAACTTATTGTTATCGGGTAATGCCTTTTGGTTTGAAAAATGCTGGGGCAACTTATCAACGAGCTATGGTAGCACTATTCCATGACATGATGCATAAAGAAATTGAAGTATATGTAGATGATATGGTAGCTAAATCAGCGGAGAATAAGAGTCATGTTGGAGTCCTTAGAAAGCTATTTGGGAGATTACGCGAATATCGGCTAAGATTGAATCCTAACAAATGCATTTTTGGAGCTCTTTCTGGGAAGTTATTGGGATTCATTGTGAGTCGTAAAGGGATAGAAGTAGATCCAGATAAAGTGAGAGCAATTCGAGAAATGCCATCTCCCCAAACAGAGAAAGAAGTTAGAAGTTTCTTGGGACGATTGAATTACATTGCTAGATTCATTGCCAATCTAACAGCCACTTGCGAACCAATGTTTAAACTGTTAAAGAAAAATTGCAAGGGGACATGGGATGATGATTGTCAAAAGGCCTTTGATAAAATTAAAGATTATTTGTTAAATCCCCCGATTTTGGTACCTCCATCACCAGATCGTCCACTAATCCTTTACCTAACAACTTTACCTCGCTCAATGGGAGCAATGCTAGGTCAACTTGATGATTCTGGAAAGAAGGAAAGAGCGATTTATTTCTTGAGCAAGAAGTTTAATGAGTGTGAAGCTCGTTATCCGGTGATTGAGCGAACTTGTTGTGGACTAGTATGGGCAACTAGAAGGCTAAGGCAATACATGCTTTACTACACTACCTGGCTAATCTCACGAGTGGACCCACTTAAATACATCTTTGAGAGCCCGCACATTACTGGTAGAGTACTAAAATGGCAAGTTGTACTATCAGAATATGATATAAAGCATGTGATGCAAAAGTCAGTCAAAGGTAGTGCAATAGCAGATCACTTGGCCGATAATCCTTTAGGGGATGACCAACCATTAGATTTTCAATTTCCTGATGAAGTCATATGCACTACAGAAGAAGGTTGTGGTGAAGGAAACAATGAAGAGCGAGAATGGGAAATGTATTTTGATGGAGCCGCCAACATGCATGGAAATGGGGTAGGAGCGGTGATCGTTTCACCCGAAGGAAAACAATTTCCAGTGGCCATCAAATTAGAATTTGATTGTACTAACAACATAGCAGAATATGAAGCTTGTGTTAATGGTCTTCGAGCAGCTATTACCCTTGGTATACGGTGTTTGAAGGTATTTGGTGATTCAGCTCTCATTATTCATCAAGTAACAGGAGAATGGAGAACAAAGGATGTAAAATTGATTCCCTATCAAGAACTCCTAACAGATTTGATTAAGCAATTTAAGGTTGCTAGCTTTCATCACTTGACTAGAGATAAAAACCGTTTCGCTGATGCTTTAGCCACTTTAGCAGCAATGATCCAACTTGATTGTGGAGTCCATATCCAACCCATCCAAGTGGAAGCTAGAAGCTTTCCAGCGTACTGTCTGAATGTTGAAGAAGATCGAGAAGAATATCCTTGGTTCCAGGATATTAAGGATTATATCACTAAGAGATCATACCCAGCTGGAATGACTGAGAATGAAAAGAAAACCCTTCGTCGTTTGGCTATGACATTCTTTATCAGTCAAGATGTTCTATACAAGAGGGGTTATGATGGTACTTTACTTCGCTGTGTGAGTTCAGAAGAAGCAAAGAAAATCATGGTTGAGGTACATGAGGGCATATGTGGCACGCATGCGAATGGTCACACTATGGCCAAACAGATTCAAAGGTATGGCTACTTCTGGCTAACAATAGAGAAAGATTGCTTTGAGCATGTCAAGAAATGCCATAAATGTCAGATCTATGCTAATAGGATAAATGCTCCTCCAATCCCATTATATAATTTGGTATCACCCTGGCCATTCTCAATGTGGGGCATTGACATTATTGGCCCAATTAACCCAAAAGCTTCGAATGGACATCGCTTCATCCTTGTCGCGATTGACTATTTCACAAAATGGGTAGAAGCAAATTCATTTGCTAGCATCACGCAAAAGACGTTCCTTAAATTCATGAAGACAAATATTTTATGCCGATATGGGATTCCTGAAAGGATCATTACTGATAATGGTCCCAATCTCAATGGAACGGAAGTCAGGAACTTTTGCGAGAAGTTCCAAATCAAGCATCATAATTCAGCCCCGTATAGACCTCAAATGAATGGAGCAGTTGAAGCAGCCAATAAAAATATTAAGAAGATCATTGGAAAAATGACAGTAACTTATAAGGATTGGCATGAGATGCTTCCCTATGCTTTACATGGTTATCGTACTACTGCACGCACATCCATAGGGGTGACCCCATACTCCCTTGTTTATGGAATGGAAGCTGTTACACCCATTGAGATAGAAATACCATCTTTAAGAGTATTGGCAGAGGTAGATTTAGAAGAAAATGAATGGATACGAACCCGATTTGAGCAACTTAACATGATTGAAGAGAAAAGGCTCATTGCAATGTGTCATGGACAATTGTACCAAAAGAGAATGGCAAGAGCTTTTGATAAAAAACTTCGCCCACGGGAATTCAGTGCTGGGGATCTTGTACTCAAGAAAATATTGCCTAACCAAGAAGATAATAGAGGCAAATGGGCTCCGACCTATGAGGGACCTTATGTTGTCAAACATGCTTTTTCTGGAGGAGCACTGATCCTAGCTGACATGGACGGTCAAGAGTTAGCAAAGCCCATTAATGCAGATGCTGTCAAGCGTTACTTTGCTTAAACAGAAAATGAAAAAGAATGAAGCGCTCGTTAGGTTGAAAACCTGTAAAGGCAACCTAGGCAAAAGTTAGAGCTAATAGAAAATGAAAAGGAAAGAATAGCTCGTTAGGTTAAAAAACCTGTAAAGGTAATCTAAGCAAAAGTTAGAGCTAAAAAAAAAGGGGGGGCAAAGTCATGATAAGAAGAAGAAGAGTTCGCCAAGACAAAAGGATGTCTTAGGAGAAGAAAAGGAAGGCATCAAAAGTTAATTATGTTTGGGAAAGTTATCTCCATCGTCTCTCATATTATGCATATCAATAGCAGCTCAGTGAAACACCTGTTGGGGTTTTGAAAAGCTAAAGGAAGAGATGTGATAAAGTAAATCCATATATCCCATTCGCGCTTTGGCCATTTGTACTCATAAACCAAGATATTCCCATTTCTCTATGAACTTTAGCCTCAGTGAATGAATTTTTTCCGCCCTTGCTCCTTTGAGACCATCTTTCTTCTCGTTTCGTGTTATCATATTTGGATACAAATCTCATATATTACAGCAGGTTCGCATTCAAGGAACAATATTCATTGACGCATTTACTTGACGTAGAATGCTGGTATCTTTATTCTCGCCTTTCGCCCTTGAGGTATCAAGATCATTACGTAGGTGTAAAATGATAATGAGAGCATGTCTACTATTAGTGTTTGGTTATAATAGTTAATCTCATCAATTTGAAGACAAGATCAAGTGACAAGAATTTGGTCATTGGAATTTTCTAAAGAGGGGCAACGGCATACTGTGATACTACACCTATTAATGAATAAAGGTTAAATAACAGACTTGGAGGTATTACCTTATGTTCGAAATGATTTATTCAATGTGCACAAAATTTTCAAAAAAAAGGGGGATAAATACTAAGATAGTTTTCAACATTAAGCTTTCCAATAAAATTTTTGCAATACATTTGCATTATTCATACATTTGCATTGGGGCAAATAAGCACGTCTTACCCTTTACATTGCAAATCATCCATCCAATGTATATTTAGCGCCTATAAACATCATACATGGCACATTACCACATTGCATGCCTTGTCGTAGAAACACGCCACACTTAGATTGGGGCAAATAAAAAATCATGCATTGCATATCACCCCATTGCATGCATTGCTACAGAGAGTATGCCCTATTTAGATTAGGGCAAACTAAAAACTTGCAAAACCTAAGGAAGTAAGCGAAGAATTAACAAAACTCACCTTTGAGTTTCTCATATTTTCCCCGTGAGATGAAACCTATTCTCACACTCAAAGCCCAGTACCGGCTGGCACGATTCCTTAAAGCCCTGTAACGGCAGGCCCCCAAAGCCCTGTAACGGCAGGCACCCCAAAGCCCTGTTACGGCAGGCACCCCAAAGCCCAGTACCGGCTGGCATGATTCTTTAAAGCCCTGTAACGGCAGGCACCCCAAAGCCCTGTTACGGCAGGCACCCCAAAGCCCAGTACCGGCTGGCATGATTCTTTAAAGCCCTGTAACGGCAGGCACCCCAAAGCCCTGTTACGGCAGGCACCCTAAAGCCCAGTCCGGCTGGCACGATTCTTTAAAGCCCTGTAACGGCAGGCACCCCTAAAGCCCTGTTACGGCAGGCCCTCAAAGCCCAGTACCGGCTGGCACGATTCCTTAAAGCCCTGTAACGGCAGGCACCCCAAAGCCCTGTTACGGCAGGCACTCAAAGCCCAGTACCGGCTGGCACGATTCCTTAAAGCCCTGTAACGGCAGGCACCCTAAAGCCCTGTTACGGCAGGCACCCTAAAGCCCAGTCCCGGCTGGCACGATTCCTTAAAGCCCTGTAACGGCAGGCCCCTAAAGCCCTGTTACGGCAGGCACTCAAAGCCCAGTACCGGCTGGCACGATTCCTTAAAGCCCTGTAACGGCAGGCCCCCAAAGCCCTGTCACGGCAGGCACCACAAAGCCCAGTATCGGCTGGCACAATTCTTTAAAAGCCCTGTCACGGCAGGCACCACAAAGCCCAGTATCGGCTGGCACAATTCTTTAAAGCCCTGTCACGGCAGGCATCCTCCGAGCCTTGTAAAAGCAGGCATCCACCTGGTCCTTTGGAACATAGGCAATTCATCTCCATTGAGGTTTTGTTTTGTTTAGTTCGTAAATCACATTTCATTTTAAACCCTTTCTTTTATTTTGTTTTGTTTTTTTTGGTTGTAGATACCTAAGAGTCTTGCCCCTCCTCACAAAATACATGTTTCTCTCTTCATTCATTTCTAAGATAAGAATATCATCTCATGAAATTCTCACTTAGAAATCAAATGAAGAGGGGGCATCTAGTCAACATATATTTTGTTTGGATCGTTGTCATTTGATTATTTTCATTCACATCACATTGCTAAAAATCAAAAATCATGTCACTGTGTTTGTTATGCAATAGTCTCGCATTTAATCATATCTTGTCGTGTCAGGGGCAATTAGGTCTTTTCATAGGTATTGCATGGCCGACCAAAATACATGTTCTATCTTTACTTGTCACTTATGTAAGAATTCAAAAACACACTTTTTCATATACTTACATAAGAAACAAGTAAAGAGGGGCAACTGTGAACACCGTATTTTGTCCGGGCATTTTTTTTAAAAATAATAAATAACCAAAATATATATTAGGATTATATTTTCAAGAAAATAATAATAATAATAATCATCATCATCATCTAACAAAAAAATCCTCTCTCCTTTTACCTTAGATAACCCTTCTCTTAAAAGAAAATTAATTAAAAAAATATACTATGAAATTGAATAATTAAATAAAATAAAATAAAGAGGTAGTATCACGTGCATGCCAATTTGAACTGCCCAGCTTCAGCAACAAAAACACAGCAGACATGAAACAGACAAAAAGAAGGAAAACGAGAGAGAGAACAGTCAGCCACGCATGCACGAAGAGAACGCCGGAAAAACGCACGAGCAGACGCAGAAAAAAGGAACTTTCAGCCATGCAGAGAAACCAGAACACGTCAACGCACAGCCACAGCTACACAGAGAACACACACAGAAAAAACAAGCAGAGACGCACAATGAAAGGAAATAGAAACATGCACGTACACGAGAAAGCAAAAAGAAAAACACAGCACCAACACATACGAAACACACACAGAAAAAGTAGAGGCATGGACACGACAGAAGAAAAAGGGAAGCAGAAAGGCAGCACCCACACGCAAAGAAAAAGAAGAGCCATGCAGAAATGAAAACAGAGCAGAGAGCTTTCGGCGCACGCAGAAAATGCAGCGGAAGAGAAGGGAAAAGGAAGAAGCAGAGAAAGGGAGTAATCATTCAGCTCTTCCATCCTCTATATAAGGAGTGACAGGGCTGGGAGAAAAGAGGAGGAGACGGAGGAGGTGAAACAGAAAAAGAAAGACCGAGAGGACTGAAAACAGAAAACAGAGACAGAGGAGAGAGTCCGGGAGAGGAAGAGAAGAGAGAAAGAAAATAGAGCAGAGAAGAAGCAGCAGAAAAGGAGAGGAAAAATGGAGAAACGAGGCGAGAAAAACTGGAAGAAGGAGATCAGAAGTAAAAACAGAGCATAGGAGAACTGAGAGAGAGCACGAGGACGAGCGAAGACTGGAGACGAAAAGAATAACAGAGCAACTGGAGAGAGAGAGAAAGTGTGGAAGTTTGCAGGGGCTACTGCCATCACTGACGGTGCACTTCGTCCTCCTCTGTGTCTTCATCTCCTCTTCCTTTCTCAGTTACGGGCATCGCGGGAGCGTGTAAGTTTGCAGGGGCTACTGCCATCACAGACGGTGCACTTCGTCCTCCTCTGTGTCTTCATCTCCTTTTCCTTTCTCAGTTACGGGCATCGCGGGAGCGTGTGTAAGGTTAGTTCACACCTTATTAATTGCTTCTATGAATTTTATATCCAGGTGAATAAGTCTCGAATATACGTATTTATTTTTATGCTCATATGCTAAGCACATATATATATTTTTTTTAAAACTTAAAACAGGAGATTTTGAGAATTTTTACAGGAATTTAAAATGATCTCATACCATAAAGATCAATAAGATTTTACAAGTATGGGGATCAATTTTGCAGATACTTATACGGGTTCTAAAGGCCCATTATTAAAATTAACTCTTTCTTTATACTAAATATTTAAGTTCCATGTGAGATTTTAAGAATCTTCGTAGGAACTTAAATTAGTCACATTATTATGTGGGACAGTAAGTCCTCGTAGATATAGTGATTTTCAATTTTTGTAATAAATAAGTAATTTTTGCAAATAATCATATAATATACAATTTAAGAAACTTAATTAACCAAATTAAATGTATTTAAATTGTAACCATATTTACCAATTATATCTTTTAGCCACGTGAAATTTTTGAATCTCCGTAGGCTTCTAAGATCATTGTATTATCGTGTGAGTCAATAAGACTCTGCGGATATAACGATTTAGTTTTTAAAATATATATACATATATATTATATAATTAATTAAATCAATTAATTAAATTTAATTCCTGTCTCGTGTGAGATTTTAGAATCTCCGTAGATATTTAGGATAATCATATTACCGTATAAGTCAATAAGGCTTTGCAGGTATGATGATTAAAATTCTTCAAAACATGTATATACATACTTAAAATATATTTTTGATACTTAAAATGTACATAAGAATATAAATAAATAAATTGAATTGCCAAACTCTTCTATCATGTGAGATTTCAGAATCTTCGCAAATACTTAGAGCAATTGCATTACCGTATGAATCAATAAGGTTCTACAGGTACTGCAATTAAATTTCTAATCATAAAATATAAAGAAAGATAATTTTAAACCCTTTCATTTCTTTATTCAAAATTCAAAAATTGAGAAAATAATTAAAATTAAATTACCTTTTGCAATTTAAAACACACATATCAAAATTTCAGAAATTGTTTTATTTGCAAAATGGTGAGTTATTTCTAATTAATTTCTCTTCAAAAAATATTTTTACCGACAAACTTTTAAGCCCGAACTACGTGGACTTTGATCCCCATCACAGGGTACGTAGGCCTCAGAGTCAGATTCTGAGTCAAGTCCGTCCTCTCTCGTAAATAAATAAACATTTCTCACTCAATTATCATTATTTATATCAAACACATGAATATAAAAGGGATAATTAAAATAATTTTAAAACCATATTAATAGAGCACAACAAACTTCAGGTAACTGTTCTCACGAACGGGTGTTGTGGGGTGCCTAACACCTTCCCCACACTCAACCGACTCCCGAACCCGTTCTCTGATTTCGCAGACCCCTTATCTTCCATTAATCGGTTTCCCGAGATTTACCTCAAAAATCTTGGTGGCGACTCCTCGTTCGATCCGGTTCCCGCCGCGAAGGCCGGGACCTCCGCTCGCGCGCCGTTCGCGTCGCATTTTTCCGGGTGCGACAGTGGTAGTAATTTTTA